AGTAATAAGTCACATTACTAGTCATAAGGATCTAAGAGCATAGTTCCAATCGAATATCTAAAATAGGAATGTGGTGTCATTATCTCTGATTTAATTTAAATGATTGATATTGGATATTATATATTAAAGTATTTCTACTAATTCAATAAATGTTCAAGATCTGTTTCTAAAAATCTAGTTATGTGCAATCTAGTTATGTATAGTCTTATATTGAAAAACTTATAGAGAGAAAAACCGGAGCACAGGTAAAAATACATTACATCCATTTCTCTAGTTAATCCGTTTAATAATACATACAATTTTCAATGTGTTTTTTAAAGCTTAAAGAACAATTTTGTCATTATATGTGAAAATCATAATCCTAAATACAAATAGCATCTAGAGATTTACATAGTTAAATAATTATATAACTTTAACATAACATATTTATATTTTAACAGTTTTGCAATCATAATAAGTGTATGGTTAGAGGCTATTTCTTATAGAAATCTTTTTGAATTAGTTATATATGCTCACTACATTTTACTATTAAACAATAAGGTTATGATAGCAGTACGGATAATTAAGATCCACTTACGTCGATGTATCAATGTTAGTCGCTGGGTCTACGTTCCATTTAAATCGAATGGTGACTGTACATCGAATTCACTACTCGTAAGAAATAAGAAAAAGTAATCAGTTTTTCCAAAGATGGAGAAACATATTGAAATGGAGATCTTAATCGTATAACCAATTATTATAGAATGTGTTTAATCATAGAATGAGAGTCCCAACATATATCTATATTAATATACATATGAATCAATAATTTTTGCTACATCTCTACATTCTTATATAAAACGTGGATTTTAATTGTGAATTAAAATGCTCATTTTAAATGTAACAATGATTAGACAAATAATTTTTTTTTTTGCTTACTCATTTCAAATTCTCTTTAAATTTCTCTTATTTTTCATAGTAATCCAAAACCTCTGAACAGAAAATTAATTTAGTTCATGGTATCATAGTTTACATTGAGGATTAATCTAATCATTGGTATTATCTGGTATATCAGAATTAATTAATGCATTGTCATAATGAAAAATGATTTCAAAATATTTAGAACTTTCGTTTGTTAATAAGAAGAAATTACATACATATACGTACATTAAAGTAACTGTAATAGTCTACATAGTTCTATTATGGCAATACGATATATTAGAGAATATTTTATCCATAGAAGTGTTCTAAAATATCTATTATTGATGACTTGCATAAATTTGAGAAAAATTTTTTTAATGATATAAGAGAAAAATGATCATCATCATACTATACCATATATTTCTCTTACTATAATGAATCGATCTAGCTACTCACTTAAAAATTTTTTAAGATAATTACCAAAGATATTAGAGAAAAATTATCTTCATCATACTATTATAACATTTCTCTTACTATTACTATAATAAATCGATCTTGTAACTCACTCAAAAAATTTTTAAGATAATTAAGAAAGACATTAGAGAAAAATAATCATCATCATACTATTACAATATTTCTCTTACTATAATAAATCGATCTTGATACTCCTTAAAAAAATTTTTAGATAATAATTATTTTGGATAGTTAGATAATTAATTTTTAGACAATTAATTAAATAATTAAGATTTTAGATAATTAAAACCTTAGATAATTAATTAATCAATAATTAATTAATTAGAAATGATCATCATCATACTATTATAATATTTCTCTTACTATAATAAATCGAGTTTGCTATTCAAAAAAATATTTAGATAATTATTAAAGATATTAGAGAAAAATGATCATCATCATACTATTATAGTATTTCTCTTACTATAATAAATCAATCTTGCTACTCATTTAAAAAAATGTTTAGATAATTATCAAAGATCAATTAGAACATGACTTTATTGCGTGCTTAATAGCGTGCTTAAATTATTCATATATGCCAATATATCCTAATATATGATTTACTTTTTATTTTTCATAATACAGGGACCAAACTTTCGTACTCATGTTATTTATATTTTTATTCCTTTTTTCCTTTTCGAAAACTCAAAAGTACAAATTTTTTAACCTTCCATATGATCGTCAAGAGTATCCAATAATTCAAAAAGACAGATTTTTTATAACGTTGCCTAGAATCATGACGGAATATCTGTGCAATCATTTTTGCTAGAGAAAACTGCCAGCTCTTTTGATACTATATCGATAAACTATTATATTAACAAATCATGAATATCGTGAAAAAAGGATTTATGAACTTTTTGTTAGGTGCTTGTGTTCTCTATAAAAGACCAATTACATTTTAACTTTTTTAGATTCTTTTTAACTATTGTCTTTGTTATATGTCTATAGTAAACATACAGTTCCACTATCCATAACATAAGGATTCAAACTGCCGGTGTACTAGCTATGTGCGGACTATTGCGAAAAAACAAGGTCTGCCTATGTTGTATCATTTTTGTATTTATTAGTCTTGTAATTCTTATTTAAAATTATTTTATGTGTTATACGATAACTGTGCACCGGCAAAAAAATTTTAAATTTGACGTGTTTATCAATATCTTTTAAATTAAATGTTTCCTAACTAAGGAACATAAGTTTAAAAGATGATTAATTGGTTTATAAAACGATAAAAATATACATATATCTAAGGATTTTATATAATGTTGTCCCATTACGTCTTCTACATACCACTGATGTTACCTCGTTAAATGATTAACTAGTTTCGTTTTAAAAAATCCCTAACTTAATAGAAACTTCTCTATTAATGCCAAATGTGTTTTGGTGTCATTATTACATCTACGGTTCATTTTTTTTCAGTACCATTTATCTTTTCCTGTTGAGTAAATGTTGAGTAAAAATATATAATATACCTATATGTATGTATATATTCCATAATCTATAGAAAATCTTTATATAAACATTTCCAAATAATAAATTTTTTTAATCGAAATTTCTAAATGAATCACTCTGTATTATACTCCACATATCTGTGTTTATTTTTACTTTAGAGATAATTGCCTGAAACTGATAATAAATATGAAACATATGTATATATGTATCTTGAAATCATTTCAATTGCAGTTCAGTCAGTTTGCTGCCGACTTAGCTAAAACAAGGTATTAAAGTTTTTAATTATTACAAAACAAAAATGACATACAATTTATAAAATATGCAGCGTATGAAATAGTGCAGAAATTAAACTAGTTATAAGTATTCTGTTTCAAAATATTGCTGTTAAGTGAACTGGTTTAAAACGTTAAATAAATGATAAGTATGGGACATACCCATGTGGGACTATTATGACAATATAAAATATTCAAGATGTAAAAGTTCGCAAATATAGCATCTGAGTGATTTTTAAATTATTTGTGCATTTGTTTGCAGTGCAGTTAAATATTTTTGTTTAACAAAAATACAAATTCATTAACAAATAAATTAAATATGTATTCCATTTTTTATTATAACATCGATTATAAACCAAATTAGATTTTCAAATATGAAATGTGACATTAACTATGGAAAGTATGTACAACAAATACTTCGAGTACATAGCATTAGGTCAAAGGTCTGTGATTAAATAGTTTGGACTTTTGAACCTTATAACTTAAAACTGTTTCAAGATAGTACGAAACTGATTTAATATCTGTTATTAGAAGCAATTTTTACGTTTTGAATTTTATTAATAAATAGTATATAGAATATATAATAAATATTAATTATTAATTTGAATAGCTTGTAGTAATTTGTAACTTTCCTTGAAATGTACATATCAATAGTTCATACATCAAAAAAATGTTTGATAATAATCTGGATTTGATAAGAATGGCCAGAAATAAATGTGGGATATAAAAGAAATGCAATGAGTATAATAGAAAACGTTTTTATATATTAAATTGAACCGGTACCAATAAAAGTGTTGTAATGTAATGTAAATTCTATTAATTAGAAAAAAATGTGATTTAATTATAAATTTTTAGATGAATATACTTATATGTATACTAAAATAATTTTTTTATTTTTATGTATTCATACTATATAAATAATTTGGACTTTGAATTATAGTTAAACCTTTGAATTATTTATTTTATGTTTTAAAAGCAAAGGTTTTTGTAAAACCTTTGCAAAAAAAACTGTTAAGATTATAAAAAGAGAAGAGTTAGATTACGTTATAACTGATTAGAACTGAGCAGCAACACATAAAGCCCTGAGAACGCAAAGATCTCAGATATATAATTTATAAAAGTGTATTCGTACTAGTAAGCTAGTTCGTTAGTTGCCAAGTTATTTTCATATTCACACCATACTTACGATGTATTTTTGATTCTCTATCTAAAATCTAGAACTTATATGCAATTTGCACGAAAAATCGACATAAAATTCTATATAAAAAAATTTTCTAAAATACCAAAATTTTGTGTAACATTTTTTAAATAAGATTTTTTGTCAATTTATAGTGCGAAATGGAGCTTAGTACTAAGCTCAACATGCTAAATTACTACACAAATATTTTTTAACATACAGCTTTTTATTTCCATTATTTAGTTATTAAACTATTAAATAATTTTTTTATTTTTATGGATATTAAATGGTAAATTTACAGTTACTATATCCAACTGTGTTTTAAAATAACCTAATGTAGATTTATATCAGATATCAGATGAAACTGATTTCAAAGCTATTCCAGTAATATTTGTTGTTTCAATGCATATTGCACATTATGTTTTACACTACTGTGTATTGCTGTGAAAAGTACTCATGAGGTTTTTAAATTTAATTTTTTTATTATTATTACATTTTGTCTTCAGGCAACTACATTTTTTGTTGATGGCAATAAACGCAGTGACAAAAGAAATCTTCAACCAATCATATCTAAGTTGTTTAAGTGAATTGATGAATTTAAGATTAATAATTATATGACTAATTAATTAATTTGAACAGCACAACTGCCACTAATGATTTAATATAAATCGACCCTGTTTTAAGCTACTTTGCAATTCTGTAGTCCAATATATTTAATTTTTTGTGTTGGCAGTGCTACTAATTTAGCAAAACGAAATATTTTTACAATCGTGTCATATTGTTAATGGCGGTAGCTTCAAAAATAAATTAGTTATTAAAATGGAAATTTATAAGTTTGAGAAAAGTTTACTTAATCGCTTAGATGAAATAGGATCAGCTTTATCAAGACCTGATGTATTAATTAATGCAACACAAGTGTTTATTGAGTGGTCGAACTATATTGAAGTAAGCATTGAACCAACAGGTTGGCAAGCCACTTGGAAGGTACCACGCTTAACTTGTGAAAACATGGAATTGCCATATCCTGTTGTAGTTTTTGGAATGGTTGAACAAGTGTTATTTAGAGATTTGCAAGCTAGTTTTCGTGTAGAAGCCGTACAGGATAGTAATATTCATTTACCGGAATATCATGTGGTTCGTTTAGAGGACCTTTATCCGACTATTAATCAAGAAAATACTGAATTAAATGTCGAAACAACCGCTGATGTTATTGATGCTTACCGTTTTTTTATGAATAATGTTTGGATGCCATGGGACAATGAATTGAATGAGGATATTAGTTGGGTTGATAAGCATTTAGAATCACGTATACGCTTCTGCTATGATTTACGTAGCACGGCAATGAATCGTCCGCTTGCAGCGCATATAAAAGCATTGCTTAATGAAGCCAGGTGCATTCAAGAACGCAAAGAACATTTGGAAATGAATTTAAGTGAAAAGGACGAAAATTTGGAAAATGAAGTAAAAAATGTTGAAATTACAGAATTAATGAATCTACATTTACGTTTGTCAACAATACGTGCCAAAGTGGAATTATTGGAAAATCCTGAAATGCGTGCAGCATATGAAGATTTGCACTTTAAAGAAGTAAAAAAATTACAAACATTGGCGAACAGTTCTAAAAGCGATGTTGCTTTCGTGGTTTCAAGTCCTACCAAAATTACTGACCACATTAATGTATTATCAAAAGTTAAGCAACATGTAAAAAAAGATTGTCTGATACATATGAGCGCATCATTAGAGGACGCACTCTCCAAATATTGTTCAATATGGAAAATATTTCTCTCACCTGGTAATCATCCCATTAAATTCTTAGAACATCTTCATAGTGGGCATATTTTTGGTCTGCCGGAAAATTCAAATTTTAATGAGAGTAGCTTAAATGTCGACCAATTAACAAGTACTGATGTTGTCATTTACTCTTCTGATGCTGAAAGTGTGTTACTTGTACTGAACGGTAATTTCACCTTTGAAAACATTGTGTTTCAGTGCAATAAAGTACGCTTATGCATGGTAGTAAAAACGGGTAATTTGCGTTTAAAAAATTGCCGTTTAATTGGTAATGGAAAGTCAAGCACACAACAGGGTATTTGCTGTGGTGGCAATGCACAAGTCACATTGGAAAATTGTCTGATTGAAAACTTTGCTACTGGCATTACGTTAAGTGGCAATAGTTCACTAACACTAAGTAAAACGCAAATTGCTAATTGCTTTACTGGTTTGGATTGGACTAATCAAACGAGTAAAGTGCATTTTAATGAAACAACCATAAGCAAAGCTAAACAGTACGGCATTTATATACCTACTTTAGCCATGCCTGATAATAATATATCAACTTTGGAATTAAGCTGCTTACTCGATTTAAATAAATATGATGTGATCCTGCCCTATACGGGCTTTTGCGGTTTCAATAGATGCGCAAAGAATGTTCATGTTATAAATTCTAATATTTCGCTTGAGCACGTACATGAGCACGAAGAATAGTAATATTATTAACTTTATACATTTTTTTAAGCTATAAATTAGTTATATATGTTTAAAAAAAATTATATTATAATTACTCCATATTGACAAAAGTTTTATAATTAAATCATCGACGTGAAGTTTGTAACCAAAATTAGTTTGTTTTATTTAATTTAACAGCATACTACTATTATAATATGAATTAATACATAAAAGACAATACAGAAGAGCTAATTTAATATTAAAAATCTAAACTTTTAACAAGAGAAATTAAGTTGAACAGTAGAGCTGATTCCATTATTTGATACTCTATACTATTTTTAAATATGTAAGTCTATTAAAATTTTACATTAATAAAGTTTACTATATTTTGAAAACAGAAACGCATCTTATGTTTATATACATAATGACAAAAACCAAGAAAAAACCATATTGTAGACTGAAGGCAATAGCAAATAAAAGTGCCTGTTGGCACTTGATGTTAAGTTATTTGATTTGTAAGATTAAAAACAAAAAAACCAGTGTAGTGTTTTATACAGTTTCTTTGTTTATTAAATTAAGCTTACAGTATTGTCATATATGCGACCATAAAATCTATTTTATAAATTTTTATTTGGTGATTTCTAATTAATTTCTAATATTATTAAAAGTCTTTTAATTGAGTGTTTTAATGACTAACATTTATTTTTATTTTTGAAATGTACTAATTCGTCAATTGTTCAATCATAATATAACTTTTTAAATTATTTTTAAAATTTTATTTTATTTTTCCCAATATTTCGATTATAGTTGTGTACTATTATAATAATTGACCAATTAGCCAATTTCGAAAATAGAAATAATAAATAAAATTTCGTTTAAAGTAATTCGAAAATAGTGACGTGCAGGTCCATAATTTCGGAGTATCTCGCCATTCAGTTTGGGAATGTTCAGAACGTATCTTAATTAATGTTCATACTAAGTATCTTTATATCTGTAATATCGTATTAAGATATTTTATTTCGTTAATTATTCTTACTACGAAAAATTGCTGTCAATAGTCATTCTTTAAAATTTCATTGCATAGCATTTAGTAAAATACTCAGGGCCGTTCTATATTTACTGCAAAATTAGCATTGCAATGGGACGCAAGCGTATTAACAATTGTAGTGGCAAAATAATTGTGCAATAACAAGTATTAGTTGCAATTTGACCGAATACTAGAAAATTATCAGACGCGATACCTCAGTAATTTCACAAAAACAAAACCAGAACGTACGTACGCAATTGTTATACAATTTGCAAAAAACAACAACTTAAAAATTTAAAACATTAAAACGTAATATCTCGAGGACCAAGCTTATCGTTATATAACATATAGAAAAATTTTACACGCGTTACGAAGTTTACAAAAATTATTTTCGTTTAAAATTATTTGTCTCTTTGTACATAAAACCCATAGTGTAAGCATTACTCTTGTCTTAAAACTTTTAAATACTTTAATTTTATTATAAATAATAATTATCCAATTTTCTTCTCTATATAATATGTATTTAGTTTATTGTAACAAAATGAACAGTTAGTGTGTTTTTAAATTATTTATAAACACTATTGCATTGTAAATTTATATTGTGTGCAAATTTTATTATTGAACGTTTATTGCAAATAATGGTGGCTAAGTAATTGTTTTTTTTTTCTTTTGTTTTTTAAACTATTTACTTAGATCGTTAAAAAAATTCATTTTTATTTTATTTTTAAATTAATCTAAAATATTTTTGCTTGGTAAATAATATTTGCAAGGCATTTTCAATTTTTATTACTGAACTTTGTTTTTGAAAATAATCGCTATGCGATTTATTACAGCTCTTCAAAACGCTCGTATTGTTTTAAATAATCAAGTTATAATTGAATTTTTTAAATTCAACATGGCAACACTTGAGTAAATGTTTTCTTCTCAGCTGATATTTTTATTCCAATTGGAGTTGTCATTCGTGTTTTGTTACTTGCAGTGGTCCGTTGTGTTCTGTTTTAATATAAAATATCGGCAATTATATGCGAATATTTAATATTAATGAACTTTGGCGATTGTTTATATTTTATTAGTTTTTATTTAACTTTTTAAACTGAATTCATACGTTAACTCAATAACTGTTTAAAATAGCTTACAAAAGTACATACAAAATTTTGCTTAATTAATAAATTTAAAGTAATTATTAACTTCTTTGTAGATAACAACACAGAAGCAAATAAAATGCCTAACTTTGATGATGTGAGTGAATGTTTATTAAAAAAAAAATATTTTTTGTGCTAATATGTAATTATTTTTTGATTTCTGTTTTTATTTAAATCATGATGAATTTACGAACCAATTGGGTAATAATTATTAAAGATATTACAAAAATGCCGCTCAGCATTCAACAGTGGAAAAACAAAGGATGTTAATTTTAGGTAAGTTTTAATTTTTTTATATTTTATTCAAAAATTTTTAAATTTATTGTTAAATTATTAAATAAGCCGGAATCTCAATAGTGAGTAGCATTGTGACATACAACAATTTTTATTAAGTTTTATAAAAATAAATGAATTTTGCTTAGTTTGTTGCTGTAATTATATAATTGCATTTTTTTTTTGTTTGAAGTTATGCAAAGTTAATTACTTTAATTAAATTTTGTAAAACTAAACCTGTTACTGTATATCTACTCCATATTTGTTTGTTTACATGAGTTAATCAAACCGGTATTACGTATGTATAAATTTTATGTAAACAATATACAAGTACACTGCTTGCTGACATACTCGTACTTTTATGATTGCAGAAAAATAAATAACAGTTTATAAATTTTTACATAGACAATTGAGCATTTAATTGCAAGCTCTTATATTTATTGTGGAAATGACTATAAACACATAATATGCAAATATTTACATATATATTGAACAATTATATGCCTAATTATTGTGTCTTAGGTATTTTTAGATGTTAAGGTTTTTCTTAACATTTGCATTAAGTTTAGCCTCATAAAAATTCTCGTATTTGATTTTTGCATAGATTCAAGAACAATGTTAATGAAATTAAATAGAAGCAGCTTGAGCTAGGCAAAACATTTCAAAACGAATATTTCAAATGTAGAATTTCCATAATTAAAAAAAATGTGAATAAAAAGATTAAGATAAACGGAAGTTTCGTTCAAGGTTCACAAACGTACTTTTAAAATGTTAAGAAATCCAAAATTATCATTATCGCTCAAGCACTGATGATTCAGTAAAAATACAATAAGATAAAAAAATTATTTTTAAACTATTGTTCTTTTTGACCTATAACCCCTTTTCGGGGTTTATAATGATGTTCATAAATTAATATTAAAAAAATTTAAACTGAATAATAATTCATTTGTTTTAGAGAGTTTAATTTGTTTATGAGAATTTTAACAATTATTTTTTTTATTAATATTTATATTAAAATTACTATTTAAGTTTAAAAAATCATGAATTACAAAAGCAAATATGTTTTATTTAATTATTTCAAAAAAAAAAATACTTGTAATTTACTATAAATACACCCATTTTTCGAGGTTTGTAATGATGTCTACAAAAAATTAATATTACAAAACACAAAAAATTGAATAATAAATCAATTGTTTCAGTGAGTTTAATGTTTTATATGTGAATTTTTTTAATAAAATTACTATTAAGGCTTGAAAAGTCATGAATTGCAAAATAGGGAAAATGTTTCACTTAATTATATCAAAAAAAAAAAACTCACAATTTGACCTATACCTCTGACCTATACCACAATTTGATCTATAACTCTTTTTAACGTACTTAAAAAATGTTAAGAAATTCAATATTATTAATAATTAAAATTAAAATTATTAATATTTAAATTAAAATTAATATTAAGGCTTAAAAAGTCATGAATTGCAAAAAAAGGAAAATGTTTTATTTAATTATTTAAAAAAAATACTAATAATTTGATAAAAATTTAACCTATACCCCTTTTTAACGTATTGTTAAAAATTTCAAAATTATCATTATCGCTCAAGCACTAATGATTCAGTATTATATAAAAAAGGAACAAAAGGAACGACAGCTATATAAAAAAAGCTGTTGTTCCATTTGTCCTATAACCTCTTTTTCCAGGTTTATAATGATATTATTATAAAATTAATGTTATGAAATTTAAATTGAATAATAATTCAACTTTTTCCGAAACTAATATGTAAATTAAAATTACTATTATTTAACCCTCAAAATTTGTTAAAAATTTGATCTTTAATCCATTTCCGGGGTTTATAATAACGTTAATGTAAGAGAATATTATAAAATTCCATCTAAATTAATTGCAATTCTTTCAGGAAACTTTATTTTTCATATGAAACTGTACACATTTTGTTTTAATTAGCGTTTAAATTCTAATTACTATTAAAGTTTTTACAGTAATGGATTGCAAAAACACAAAAAAGTTTTAATTAATTAATTAAAACAAAATTGTTATAATTTGCTAAACAATATTAATTTTATACTTTGTTTCAAAATGAAACGATTTTCAAAAAAAAAATTTTTAACAGTAATGAATTGCAACAGCAATAATTTTTGTATATAATTAAATGAAAAAAATTTTAAAATAAAAAATTTAAATAAAGATATCGTTTAGCAAATTATAGGTATATATTAATAATAGCTTCCAATTATATATTTTATTTTATATACTAGTTTGCAGCGGTATTAGCTTAGAATATATATTTTATTTTAGCATTAATTTAGTTCTGGTTTTAATATATACGCTTTCATTTATTAAAGTAGTTAAATCATACATTGATAATATAACTGTCAATCAAAAATATAAATTTAATTCATATCAATTACAAACCCGTTTAAAATAACATTTAAAGGCAGCAATAAACTATATTTATAGATAATTAATTAAGTAAAAAAGTATTGAAGTAATTATTTTTTTATAGCAATTAAATTTAAAAACAAAAAATAATATTTTTAACGCATATACTATAATTTTAAGAATTTTTACTGCGTTTTAATACAACTCAAATCAATTATAATCAACAGAAGAGAAATGTAGTTGAATTCTTAAATTAAGTAAAGATATATATAATGCATTCTCTCATTCCCAAATAATACCATCCTCTCTAACACAACCGATGCCGATCCCTGGATTTTAACCCTGAAATTCGTTATATTATTCCTTTTATGTTATCTGCTTTACAGATCCTTGTTGATTACAACAACAGCAACAACAACAATACATATAAGTACGGGTTCAGTTTCAATATATGTAGATTAAAGTGGTTTAGAAGCTTTAGCTTAAACTTTAAATTAGGCCATGCAACGCATTTTCTCAGCATTTATAAATACTCCACCTTATCAACATTATTAAAGTTGTTTAACAATTAAACTTAAATATGTTAAATTTCGATTTAAATTTATCAATTTTAAGTTACTAGCAACTTTTAAGTAAATTTTATAACAATTTAATCAGTTTTTAATACTTATGTAAATCGAAAGAACTAACGTCACTACATATATATATGTTTGATAATAATAACGATAAAGAGATGTGATTTTCTTCTACAGAAACAAGAAAATATGATGAACTTTAAAAAATACTTAAATACTCGTATATAAAAATAATGTAGTTGTACAAAGATAAAGGTTCGTTATTTTTATGCTCAAATGTTTTTTTTTCGAAAATGTGCTGTTGATTACTTATCATGTAATTCATTATTTACTTTAAAGTTGTTAAATCCACAATAAGTTATTTGCAAATCTATCATAACCCTGTATAGTAAACGATAATATAGTTATAAAAAATTTAATATTTCTCCAGACATTGATTTTTAATGCTATTTAAAATTATTATATATGTTATTACTCATCTGCGGAAAATTGTTTAAACATATTTTGTTTTGTTTGGTTCTGAAATAAATATTCAAGCAATTTTCTTTACTAGAGTTTAACATGTGCTATACAGTAACTAAACTTAATTGCATAAATAGGGGTTGTAGTTGTCTAATAGCCCGTGGAGATCTGCTAAAAAAAGTCTCTTTTGGGTGTAGTTAACGGCACTCAAAAATGATGCGTATGTGTAAATGTGGGTGAAGTCTTCTCAAAAAATGGAAAATATCATCATATAAATGGCATCTAGTCCTACATTAGTCCTTAAATGTCCTTTAGTTGATGCCTACTAAATTATTTTACTTCATCTGGATTTGAAATTATGATAATTCAGTATCTTTTTGAAAAAATGTTATTATTTTTTCAGAAAACGTCATTCATGATTAAATTAGAATTATTACGAGTTCATTTTTTTAATTTATTTATATAAGCCTATTTTAAAAAAAAGCTTCTTTGAATCTTTAAATAAAAACCTTTTATTTTATATAGTTATCTATATAATATTTCATTTAAAGTTTATTTGAATTCTTTCTCTTTAAAACTTCGGCAACATTTATATATATTTTTTTCAGAAATCCTGGTTAGGTTATACCGGCGATACCTAGGGAATCCACTTACGCCTATTTGAGCACAGAAAGAACTCAGTAACAATTTGCATGGTGTTGATGATATGCACAGATTACTTAGGTGTTCCGAATGAGGTCCTGAAGCATTAACTAAATGAAGCACTTTCTGGCTAACTCGTCTGCTCTCAATTGCCGAAAACATCCCTATGACCGCAAACCCAGATTAGAGAAATAAAAAGCTGCGCTGACATATCATTTAGATGATATTTTTTTTAAAGTTGCTACACGCAAAAACCCAAAATAATGTAACTCTTGGTTATGTTGTTCCAAATTGTTTAATTGTTTGTTCCTTTGTCAGATTTTAGTATGTACTAACATACATAATATATTGTTGAAATTCGAATAAATATTTTGATTGACACTTTATCATCGATAATAGGAATATTTTCACTAATATGTTAAGTTAGTGTTTTAACACAAACTACCTAGTAGTATTTACAGACCACCATGTACATTATAAGTCAACCCCAATGATAAATTTTTAGACGTCGCCTATCAGATCTATAGATTTTTCTATAAGCGCATTATTTAATAGTCTGTGATTTCGTATTGTACACATTTTCTCAAGTTCACATAACTTTTTGCCTACTTATTTCTAAATTATGTTGCGATAATCAATTATAATTTTTTAAGATTTTATAATCATTTTATGTCTTTTCCTGTTCTGTCGGAGATGCTACCATTTGGTTTGAAGTTTGTTCAAGCCACTCCAAGTTAGTAACTATAGTAGATGAATTTGTTGATATGTTGTTTAAAGAAGCCTCTTCTTCATATTGATTGCATGTTTTCTCATTATCCATTCTAAGTTTGAGGATTACACTCTTCTTTGTTATAGTTGTATTTGCAACCAATTTTAAATTTATTTTAAATTAAAATAAATAATAATTAACTCTTAAAACTGCTACAAAAACTTGCTTAGTTTACCTAACAAAAAAAAAATATCTTCGTCATTCATGCATAAAAACTCACTTATACCTGTTCTATCTATTTTTAAGATATTAATGTACAATATTTTAGCTATTTTTTGCTCACATTGATTAAAAATAATAAATGTACATTTTTATGCAACTATAGAAAGATATTGAGTTTTTAACCTTTTAAAAGTAATTTTTATTTTATTTTAAAAAAATATTTTTGAAATTTTAATATAAACTTTAAAAGCTCAATTAAATCTTAAGAGCTGTTTTGGACTTAGCTCAGCTTATAAACATTAAAGAGCATATATTTATATACATTTTCGTATATAATATACGCGATTATTTACATATTTTATTGCTAAATTTATCTATAAATTTTATTTTAATCACATTTACACATTAAGTGACGTGACATTTAACCCAAACGACATATTAAGTACTCTTTTTAATGCATTTTTATTGAGCTGTATAAGCTGTGTCTCACTTATTTTGTATTTTTAACTTTAATATTTATTTTTTTTTATATACTTTTCGTTTTGTATTTTTACCCATTATCATATCACATTTGAATAAATTATTGATTTATGAAATTTTGGCGTATGTATGACCTTGCTCACACGCAGCGCTAACAACCATTAATTTTATTCTGTTTTAACCACCGTTACTGTTTCAAATTATTTCAAACCGAAATCATTCATCTTGATTTAGATATCTTCATAAAATGTGATAAAAGCAAATAAAAAAAACTTTGAAATAAAACAATAGTTTTCAGACCGGAAGCAATGACAAATCGTCACATAGAGATTTTGGCATGTTTATCATTTACCACAACGGGCGGACTTAAATTATTAAGGCCCGGTTAGTTACTCTCTATATATAAACGAATAACAAATCTCTTAATTTATGCTTTTTCTATATAACATATAGTAAAAAAGTGGGTCATAATTTCACCCTAAAATCTATCAGTTCTTCGTCAGAAAATATTGATTAAATTTTTCCCATTCTAGGGGGAGTCGTGCCTTTCGACGTTTTTGCACTGATCTCAAGTCTGCATATGAACAACGCTAATTCGGGGTATCACAATAGTCCAATATTTGAAATCAAGTAGGCTTTGGGTACAAGTCCGCTATTCCAACTTAACCTAACCTTTCCATACTCAATTTGAACCTAAAATTTACCATCTGAAAGTCCTTCATTAGAACGACATACTATAGATGTACATTGACTTAGAATCAATATACATTCAATATATCAATACGACTGGAGAGCCAGTGAAGGTTTCTCTGATGAAATAAATATGAGTTTTATGATTGTTGTAGTGTTTTTTAAGGGAAAGTTATTGTCAAAATGAAAGCTATAGCTTCCATTAAAGTGAAAAATATATAAAATGAATGTTTACTATCATGTAAAGTATAGTATCTATGGTACACTATCAAGTTGTTTTGAAGTCTGAGTTCAATCGTTACATTTAAATGATTTATAGATGTTAAATTTACCTAATATATCACTCCTATTGTATACTCTGCAAGATGAGAAATGTGGTTCACATTTACTTTTTCGACAGTTAATATGAGTACGCAACATATATTAAATATACTAGGGATTTATTTACTATATAAATCAATTACTGAATCTCTCCTTTTGCAAAAATGAATCTTAAGCTCCCCTTAAAGATTCGAAATGATTTTAGATTATATTAAAACTGAGTTTTGTACTGTAACACAATAGCCCACCCGGTCTAAGTAGATCCCTATATTCATAGTGATAATCTAGAATAAATATAGCAATATAATACATAATTCATTAAATGTTTTTTTTCTATTTAAATAGACGAAAGCAGCTTGAGAATCTACTGCGTATGTATGAGGACCATGAAAATGATATGATAAATGCTTTAGATGCAGACTTACGTCGTCCTAAACAAGAAAGTTTAGTTGTGGAAACAGAATATATGAAAAATGATATAAAACATATACTGTATCATCTAAACGATTGGGTTAAACCGGAATTGGTAAATAAATCTTAAAATTATTTTAAAATCTTTTTCAAATAAATTTTTAAAATATTTACAGCCTGAGAAATCTTTCGTTAATCTTATGGATGATGTGGAAATTTATAATGATCCATTCGGAGTAGTATTAGTTATTGGTGCTTGGAATTATCCTTTACAGCTGTTGTTAGTGCCAGTGGCATCAGCAATTGCAGCTGGTAATTGTGTTGTGATTAAGCCAAGTGAAATATCTTCAAATTGCGCGAAATTCGTCGAAGAGACCTTACCAAAATATTTAGATAATGTAAGCATTAAACAATTTTTTACTTTTTATTTTGTTAAATATTTAAATTAGATAAGCTTACAAACAACGTTTTAAGCCTGATCATTCAATTTATTTATAGAAATATTACAATCGAAATATACTTTTTTATTCATATTTTTTATTAAAAACATATCTTATTCTATGTGATTGGGCACAAATTAATTCTTCTGACAAAAAACTGTTCTTTTTAACAATTTTCACATTTTTTTCCTTTTTTAAGATTGAAATGTTCAACCGGTTGCGTAAATTGTTTTTTTTGTAATATTTTTTTTTTTGATACATGCGTTTGTTTATATGTATGAAAAAAACATACATATAAATTTTTAACTTGCAAATTCATCTGACGTGATTTCAATGAAAAATTAGTCCACAAAGGAACTCAGGATTTAGATTTTGATTTTTGCAAGAATGGAATTTGTCAATTATGTTTATGAATTATATGAAATTTTAGTAGAATTCCCTCAGAAATAAGTTTCTGAATTATAATATGGAGATATAGAAACGTGAAATTGACATCTCTCAAAAATTAATTAGTTAATTTAATTAATTAATTAATTAATTATTTGATTTCCACCAAAGTAGTATAGACAGAATTAAGTTCACCCAAAAATAAGTTGCCCAATTATAATTATTGTAGATTGGATGGATGGAATAAACTTTACTTATAATTAACGTTGCCAGTTTGAGTTAAAGATGGGTAGGCCAAATAAAATTAATTTCCTTCAGATATAAATTAATTTAAAGAACACAAAATAAAATCCTCCGACAAGCTATGTGCGATCTGTGATATGTCAAAAACAAAAACTTACACAAAGGTCTAGATCAATCAACTGTTGAAGAAGTTATTCGTCAATATATACCTAAATTCCGTGAGAGACTCAAGTCGCATCCAAATCCTTATGTTCGACATATATCTTTTACAACTGCACTAAATCGCTTTAAAAGAAAATCATTGATAAATATGAATAAATATGAATACCCTAGCTCAGTAGCATACATGTAAATTTTCTAAGATTCGCAAAATTTTTCTCAATTTCTATTTTGAAAGATTCAATAAATAAATTAATTAAAAGAAAAGATATAAATTAATCAATGTAAATAAGTGATCCTTAGAAGCTACTAGTTAATTATTATTAAGTCTATAAAGAGTGCATTGGTGGATGCTGAGCTATGTAGTTTTTTATTTTCTGTATTATTAATAGGTAGTCTCGTAAAGAAATTACAAAAAAAAATTTGTTATATTTGCAATATTCATTTACTATTTAACCAATTAAAATATAATTTATATTTGAATACATTTTAAACAAAAATAAATAAACTAACTGTTTCCATAATGTAAATTAAGGAATGTTATCCAGTTGTATGTGGTGGTCCCAAAGAAACTTCAGAACTGCTTAAACAAAGATTCGATTATATATTTTACACTGGTTCAACTCGCGTAGGCAAGATAATTCATGCTGCTGCTAATGAATATTTGACACCAGTCACTTTGGAATTGGGTGGTAAAAGGTTTGTATTATACAAACAACTAATAACTAATTTTATACAAAAACTTAATTTCTTTGTATATTTTTAGTCCCTGTTATGTTGATAAATCTGTGGAATTACGTACTGCTGTTAAACGTATTTTATGGGGAAAATTAATTAACTGCGGCCAAACATGCATTGCACCTGACTATATATTATGTTCACAAGAAATACGAGATAAATTCATTGTGGAAGCCAAAGATGTTCTAAAGGAGTGGTATGGTGATAACATTAAAGCAAGTCCGGATCTCACTCGCATTATAAATCAAAATAACTTTCAGTGAGTAAAAAAAAATTGTTTCATTATAAAAATAAAATTATTATTTAATAATTTTATAGGCGTTTGCTTGGTTTAATGAAGTCATCTGGTAAAATAGCTGTAGGTGGCGATAGCGATGCTTCAGAACGTTTTATTGAACCCACAATACTTATCGATGTTAAGCCGGAAGATCCTATTATGACGGAAGAAATATTTGGTCCCATTTTACCTATATTTACTGTTGAGAATGCATATGACGCTATTAAATTTATTAATTCCAGGTAAAATTAATCTTTATAAGTTTATACATTCGTAAGAGTTATTTCCTTGTACGTGTATTGTGGTACTCATTATATCAAAGGAACAAACACATTTTTGCCGTCATGAAAGTGAAAATTGTCCCACTGTGTGTCACATTATAATGAAAATAAAAACATTATATTTTTACAGCAACATCAAACACCACATACATGATATTATCTGAGCATTTATGGGTGATATTATTATTTAAAAAATTTGATAACATTTTAGAATTTTTATTTATTTTAGTTTATTTATAATTTTTAGAAAATTATTAATAATAGTATATGATATATTTATCTAATACTTTGAGGTACTATAAAAACATCGTCATTTTCAAAAAAATATATATAATAATTTAATCGATTAATAGAAAGACTTTAATACATCAAAAAATAGGATAAGGAAAAATATAGTATTAGAAATATAATATTTCTTTAAATGTTTTAACGTAAAATTAAAACTTAGCTCAATAAATATATTTAAATTGTTTTGTTTTCAAATTTATCCCATAATATTGAATACATTTGTTTATTCTTTGCTCTATTAATTCAAGTTCAGTATATAAGTTAATTGATATATATTCTTCATTCATAAAAAAAAGTTAGCCATATAAGTATTAGAGTCGATTTTATACTTTATTTATTTTTGTTAGTATATAATCTTTAAATAATAATAATACCAACATAAACTGATTTTCGTTAAATTTGCTTTTACCACTCCAATTATTTATACTGAACAAAGTAAATTATAAAAGATATTTATAGTCCCCCTTTTAGTTAATGTTCTAGCTTTTCGATAGTATATGTACACGGATACTAAACATACTCTAATATATTTACTATAGAGTTCAAAAATCTATATATATATCTAATTAACTTTTATTTAACTACGAAATTTAAATATTTTATTAAAACAGTTTAAGTTTACACAGAACACATATTAAAATACTTTTCATTTTTATCATTCATTATATCACAAATTGTTGATATTGAAAAATTAGAGAGATACCCCTTGTTTCGTATATATTCACGATGGAAAAGGAAGTTCAAGACTTGTTCGTACGTGGCACACAATCCGGTGGAATGTGTCTAAATGATACAATAATGCATTATGCTGGTAAGATGTCAATAAAATCGTAAGCATATATTTGATCCAATCTACAACGCTCCAGCTATGGATAACTATAACAAGAAAATATAATACAAATTAAAGGTTGAAGGTGATCCTCTAGTCAGAACTTGTAATGCTCTTCTCACTTTTGTAAATACAAATTTATTTTTGGTTATATCTTGAAAGTGTCACCTACCCAGTATGCATGAAATTATTCTAATGGTGTTGGTATTATTAATAGAGATGTCCTTTTCAATGTGTAGTATTGAAAATAAAATCATACAAAATTGATATATGATATATAAGTATATATTGGAAGAAAAAATCAAATTTAATTATCATTTTTCTTATTTTGTATTATTAGTTTTCGATTTTATTTATTCATTATAAATTTTACGTATTATTATATATACAATATTTTATTCATAGTACATGTACAAACTGCTAAATAATCTTATTTAAATGGTAATTACTTTAGTAACAATTTTTTTGAAAATATAAAATAGAAAATTTGTATATATTTACAGTAAATCGAAAGAATATATATGCATAGAAAATAGATTGTATACAAATATATATTATTACGAAACTCTTACATACTTAGGTAAAATTAACCCGGGTAGTTTTGTAGGAGATGTCACTGATTTAGTAGATCCTAGACCCTAACAAGAAAACCCAGTGGAAACCAACGAAAGTTTTAAAGCGCGTTTATCTATATCACACAAATGTGAAAAGCCTACCGAAAATAATTATTGCTACGATATTTTAAATAACATGCTATGTAACAGAACTGTAGATGTTTTTAGTCCAAGAAAGCTACATATTAGTATATGTCTTTACTATGCAGCCATAATCGCATAGTACTCCATTCCGCTAGTAACCAGTACCCCGTTTATTATATATAAATACTTAAATATCGAACATTTACAGGTAGTTTTAGTAATAAATTTAAATAGAAATAAAAAAATTATAATTTATTATTTATATTTAAAAACAGTGAATATTTTTTTTTTAAATATTTTTCCATTATTTCGACTATCTTCGATAGTCATCTTGAGGGAAAACTGAAAGATAGTTTTAATATTAAATAATTTATGACAGAAACTGTATGTGTCGATCCTATCTTCTCTCCAGAGAAGCTTCAGATTTTAAAAATTCAAAATTCTTCATAACATCCATTCTCTGTACTAATTAAATTTAAATGACATTTTTATATATACTTTTGATTTACTGTAATAATATATTGTAAGAATGTAAAGTTTTTGCTTAAATTTGGTCACATTTGCACCAAACTAAATGATAATTTATGTAATTTTTAACTAAAAAGATAAGTTGTAATTTTTTATAAACCAGGGATAAACCTTTAGTGGTCTACGTATTTTCGAAAACCAATTCAACGATCAAAGAGTTTATGAAGAACACAACCAGTGGAGGATTTAGCAGCAACGAGACAATAATGCATTGCGGAGGTAGATTTTTGTAACAATTTATTTATTTATGGGATGCATATTAATTTTCTTTAATACTAAATACATACTTTTAAATAAGTTAATGATATAGTTTAGATTTATTTTATTCAATAATTTTATGTATTTCTTTAGAGGTCTTTTATTTTTAGAAAAATATATATGCAACGCAATTCAAGTGCACGCATTGCTTTCGTTAAGTACAAAATTCAAAATTTTCTAAGGTTAATTAAATTGTTATATTTAAATTGGATTATAAATGCTTAATTTACATACTGCATTCAACGTTGTTCCTTCAATTTTTATTTAATATTCATCTCTATACATACTATACGAATATGTACACTTTTCTAATTAACGACTCATGTAAAAATTCAAATTAATTTTAATTTATTAATTTTATACAACATTAAACAGGGAGAAACCTTTGGCGTTGTATGTAATGAGTAAATCGAAAAAAACAATTAAATTGTTTAAGAAGAACACTTCCAGTGGTGGGGTTTGTTCAAATGATCTTCTAGCCCATTATGGAGGTATATATACGCATATAAATTTTTCAAAATGTCTTTGTTAATATGACAACATATTTATTATTGTAGTTATATATATATAATTCTTTTTCGTATATGCTAGTGATACAATATATTTAAAAATATGGATTCAACAATAAGTAAATTAAAATATTGACAAACGTAATTATAAACTTAAAAAAAAAAATTGTATCATATAAGCTATTAAGAGAACATCTATCGGATTAAGTAAAGTAGGAATAATAAAGTTAAATCTCAAAATTTTTCGGGTAAAAATTGAAAATTTCGACAAGAGTTTTATATGATTATTTTTTTCTAGAAATAAATCACGAAAAGATTTTGATTGGTTTTTAAAGAACTAAAATAGTTAAAAATTTTTTAAAAATTTAACCTAGTTTCTTTATCGCCTTAATTCAACGCCTTATCAAGCTTACAAAGCTGCTGTTATCGATGCTCACGGTTCGTTTATAACTTCCAAACTTAGAGTATTTAACCATATAAATTTACTGCTTTTCCTCCAATAATATTTAGGTTAGGTTGCCACTATATCCTACTGTTCCACTTAAATCTGCTAACATTTTGTGTTGCAATAATGAACAAAAAAAATATTTAAATTGGAACAAATTAAAAGAAAAACAAACATTTTCATGACTAATACATTTTTTTATTTTATTAAAAATAAAATTAAATTTGAAAAATTCAAAAATTTATGCTTAGTATAATAATTGCTATCGTAGTTTTTTTTATTTGATTAAGCTTAATTTATATATTTTTCTTTTATGTGGGTTAATGGGTATTATTATGTAGTTTTTGCTATAGTAAATGAAAGTACTATTTACTATTTTATAAATAATAATAATTATAAGTACTGTTTATATTAACTTTTAGTTGAACATAATGCTTTAATAATACTAATTTGCTACTTACTACTTTCTATAAAGCAAAAAATTTCCAAACAAAACTAATTTTCAAAATTCCATGCTTATTAATAAGTTAGTTACAATATAAAGCTTAAAAGTATTTAATTTTTTCAACTAATTAAAATATAATAATAAATTAACACATTAATAATACAGTAGTATTGCTACTAATAGCAATTATAAATAAAAATATACCAATTTTAATTAATATCATATTTTTTTATTAATTATTATAATAAATATAGTTGATACTTTACCATTCGGTGGAGTTGGTTTTAGTGGTATGGGACGTTATCATGGAAAATATGGATTTGATACGTTCACACATAAAAAATCTTGCCTTGGAAAGGATTTGAAACCTTTAGGAGAATTGCTTGCTTCGTAAGTTATTTTTTATTTTTAAAATTTTTCTCTTACATATTAATATTTTTTTTAAATTATTTTTTTACAGTGGACGTTATCCTCCCTATTCAGATCGTAAAGCATCACTGCTTGGATTTCTGCTACGTAAACGTCGTCCATTCCCAAATTTATATTTATCATATATCATAACATTCGGTTTAGGTATTGGATTTGCATTCTTATTAAATCACTACTTACAGGTAAATATATTTTTGTATTTATTATGAAATCAATAGTGTAAGTTTTTATTTCATACACCGTGCCTTCTTGGAAAATCACATAAATTATTTTTTTTATAAAGGGTAAAATTTTTTCACGCACGTATTAGCAAAATCATAAAATTTATTGGGAGCCGGATTAGTCAAACGCATTTGCATCCAATACAAGTAATGAATATATTATATTGGTAAAAGGATTGGTTTCATATTTTTTACACTTTGCATATGGATATTTAAACACATTTACATATTATATTAATTTTGTTTTTGTTATTATTAAAAAAAAAAATTATTATTAATCTATATGTAAGCCTCAAAGCAATATGTTTGTGAATATAAAAATTATATAATTAAAAATGCTGAAAATAGCAATAATAATAAATAAATAAGTGTTATCATATATATCATATTAAAAATATCTTCATGTTTTATTTATACTTTTTTAATAGTTCAATTTTGATTTTTTTTTTCAGCGTGATAATAACTAATCATAAAAACAAATTGATCTTATTTAAAAACAAAAAAATATATTTTTTTTATTGTATTGTTGTATATTATTGTTATTTTATGTTAATTTTTTTATATTAAACCAAATAAAATTGTGTGATGTGTTATTGAAATGTGTTTTATTTATTAAAAATAAATATAAAGTAAATATTATTATTCCAAGCAGACTATAAATGCTATGAAACATTCAAGCATAAAAGTAGATAAAATTTCGCTAAGTAATATAAAATAATTAAATATGATATTTAATAAATTTTTTCAATAATTAACTTATTTTATAATAAATCATTTTATATGTATATCATCAACGTAACCAAGATATGTTATAGATAGAAAACAGACGCAACTCTCCAATACATAAAATCAGAAGAGCAAAAAGAATAAATTTTAGAGGAAGAATTTCCTCTAAAGAAAAATCAGAAAAGAATAGAAAGAACAGTGGCACTTGTCGACCTTGAAGACCAAGTGCCGTTCGCCACATCCAAAAGGGACTACACAAACAGATACCTGCGGGTTACAACAACAACAGAAGAATATGACATTCTACTAAAATAATAAATAACTTAACAATTATTCTATTAAATTTGTCTGTTATTGCCACATAATTGCATGAACATACATATTCTCAATACATTTGCTATTGATCCGTTATACTTAGAAGGGACCATTCTGCCTGGCACTTCTTTTCGTTATGAAATGTTACTATGATCACACTTTTAGAGGGAATCTTTGCCCACATACACTCTTAGTTATGCCTATGATAGATAGTTTATTATGTATATTTCAAATTAAATGAGTTTTAGACAATCAAACAAGCTCTTACAGTAAAGAACACAACATAGGTTTTATCACAAATTCATTGATGATTCAAATTGATGATTATACAAAGAAATATACATATATAAATAATAGTTATTTTTTAATTATTTTTATACTACACCACTATGTACTCTTTTCTACTGCAATGTTTCTACTTTCAATGTTTGAGTTATATGCTTGATATTTTATAGAAATTTTAAAATAGACGATAAATATTTATCGAAATTAGCAGCTCTATTCTGGCGTAGCTAGAATTTCTAAAGGAACTATATACCAAAAAAAATTCTTTTTAATAGCGTTTGTTCAAATCAATAAATTTCTGTATCCTAGCAATAATAAAGATGTACCACTTTATCTCATCCCTTGAATACGCCACTGAATTTAAGTTATCTTTTAAATTCATCTATATCTGGCTTATTATGCTGCCAAACAAAACTCAGATGGCTTAAAACTATTCTAACTAATGATGATTGCTCCTGAAACCCATTTCCTTACATAAATTAAAATAAAAGCTGGTTACTATAAGCCAGTGGAAAATTAATTAATATTAGATAACTACTTGCCGATTAGGGTACCATGCTTGAAGATTGAATTTTTCATCAAAATCATTTCTGTCGCTATTATGGAAATGATGATAAGAGCTTTATTTTTGAAGATCTAAGTAAGTAACGCCTAAGTAAATCATTAGGATCACCGTTATAACCTAACCTAACTTGTATAAATACTAAGTATATTTAAACAGTTTTACGAGTTTTAATTCAATATTGCTCTCTTAACTATCCGCCTGATATAGCATGCAGTATGTTCATTTATCCTTACTTTTTTAGATTTTGGAAGTGTAAAGTTCTTTACAATCAATATTAATTGAAAAATAAAACAAAATGCTTAAATAATATTTATATTTATTAAAAATTGTTTAGTTATACCGTCTTACTTAATTTTAAATAATTTATCTACTATATTATTACATAAATATTTTTTTTCTGTATGAGTTTTTAGTATAACCCGTAGCCAAGCAAATTATTTCTTATAAAAGCATTTAAGTTTTAGTTTACAATTTTTTCTATTTTACTAAACTTTAAAAATATTTATTTTTGTTTTAATATATATACTTTTATTAGGTAAGTTGTCGATAATTACAGGAAAATGCTAAATTTAATGTGTATAAAAAGAAGGCACAAAAGTAATTGGATTGGATGAGATAAAAAAGAATAAAGTGATTTTGTGGGCGAATGGAAAATTGAAACTAGTTGTTTTTATCCATATTACACAATCCGTCCATTCAAAAATTTTATAATAAATAGATTGACTGGCTTAAGTTATTTAAAGATTGAGAACTATGTTATCAACTTTTAAAACTGCATGAAATTTAGCATTTTCCTTTTCATTTCTATGTTACAATTATATGTACTATTGCCATAAACAATATATTGTTAAAAACTAAACATTTAAAACTAAAAAATATGCTTTTGTTAAAAATTAAAATTATTTTATATAAGCTAACTTAATTTAAGCTAATTTCCAATTTCCACCGCAATGGCAGTATATCCAACGATTACACCAACTCTTCAATGCTGAGGTTTTTCCAATTTTTACCATGCTATTTACACATCCACATCGGTTACATTTCTTAACAGGAGTCTTAATGCAACCCAAATTTATGTTATAAATTCCATCCTTTATACCGTTTTGAAAAACCACTTCATCATAATATACATCTTGTAAACCAACTGGCTCTTTATCAGTAGAAAATAATAATGGTTTCATCATTAATATATGTGTGTTAAGTAGTGTTGTGGATGGATGAAAGTTTTTTGATGGTATAAGAATTTGTGTTGAAAGAGTACTACATTCATCGATAAGCATTTCATCTGGATCAGAAGTATTTTGTGCTAAGCGTGTTAGAAGTCTGAATAAAAGTGAAAGTACATCAGTATTTTCCACAGATTTTGTATAAATCGGTAAACACTGTGAGTTTAATAAGCCCCATATACGTATCATTACCAATAGTTCCCTTATACTACTAATGGCAACAATATCTCTGCTAATATCATAGCCTTGTTTTTTCGTTTTTGATTTAATTACTTCTTCTGGTAGTTTTTTAAGTATAGTAAGTGCTAAATCAGTAACCCACTGTATAAGTTGTTGTAGACTTTGAAGAGTTAATGGCTCGACTGTAAAATCCTTGGCATCTAAATTAAATAGTACTTTATCAACATCAGCCAATGGTTCAGACAATGTAATTGCTAAATTATCCGCTGGACCTTTGTCATGACAACTCAAATCAGAAGGTCTTAATAGACTTTTGAACGTAATAGAAATAGCATGCAACATAATGAGATTATCAAAATCTTGTTGCTTTGATTGTATTCTGCACATATTACTCTTCAATGATAAAAAGTTTGAGTAGTAAAAATGTCTTGTAAATGCAGATTGTCTTGCAAAGTTTTCTGTTAATTTTTCAATTAATATATCCAAATTGAGCAAATTTAACATGAGCACATCACTTGCATCTATACCCGTCGTTATGCTGTACTCCAGTAGAGATAATTGCAGTGACAATGTATTATGCATAAAGTTTTTATCATGATGTGTATTAGGTATCTGTAGAGCATACAAATTTCCATAATTATCAAAAACAATTAAAATTTGATTTAGCCAAGTTACATCTCCAACTACAAATTTTCCTCCGACTTGTCGATCATCATTTAAGCGTTCGGAACCAATGGCAGAAATCTTTTTTAAACCAGGTTCTAAAATCTGTACAGTGTTATCTTTTAAAACTATGTATAATCGCACAAAATCGCATAATAATTTTGATATACACACGTCGCTAATCTCAGCAGCAAAAAATACCTTGGAAACACTTTCCCAAGCTTCCGTACATATAAAATCACCTTTATTCTTTTGTAAGACTCTGTGTACACTTTGAGGTTTTTTATTCAGATTCCACTGTTCCAATATATGTTTGCCTTCTGCACTACTGTAAGCAAGCCATATGATATCATCGTTGTTTATTTTCGCCCAACGTACATGATTTATACTCTTCGGTTCAGTTGTTAAATAAAATAAATTTAAATAAGACTCACACTTTATGTTTATACTGTCATCACTTTTCACCGCCAGGCTTACTTTAAAGCAATGGAGTAGATGTTCTTTGGCACCATAGCTAATAGCGATATTAAAGTACCCACTGGAACAGTGAGATATACTACTAGTAGCTATAAATTTCCGTGATAAGCCGATACTTTGCGTTGTTACATTCAATTCGAGAGTTGGTTGACTGACAGCGTTTTCTCCATAATGGTTGAGTTTTGGTATGATAAATGCACCAAGTAGTCCCGAAGATGTTAATATTAGACAACCTTCATGGAACGAACTGCCAAATTGAGTTAAGCTCGGACGATAGTCACTGCGTTCAAATTTGTCAGTATAAATTGGCATATCCCGTTTTAATGTATTAAAATACGTAGCCTTTCCATTGTGAAAAAACTTACAATCTAAAATTTCTTCATTCGACAGCAAAGCCTTATATACGAGACTCCAGGAATTGAGCACTTGGTTATGTGGGGACCATATTTCAATTTCACCACTTCGATAACCAATAACAAGTAATTCACCGGTAGCATTCCATTCCAAAATGTTTACTTCGGATTTTGAGCAAGTCACTTTAAAGAAATGCCACGGTGAAATAATATCGCACACGAATACATAATTGCTGGTACCGAAATATGGAGCATCTTGCGAAATGCAAAAAGCCACAATATTTTTTGATGATGTTTTACATATTACTCTTTTATTAAACAAATTTCCATCTTTAAATTTATTGTTTTGTACTTTGAATAAGACGCTCATTTTATCACGAACCTGCCAAACTGAAAAGCAAAACAATACTGATACCTAGGTATGTACGCGAGTATTCATTTTGCAAAAAAATATGTACAGCGGCTATGACATTACGAAAGACACTAGAGAGGATGCCGCCATAGCCCAAAAAAATTTTTCAAAGTAATTGATAACATAGAATACGTATATTCTAAAATTTTTATGTAATAATAGGTCTATTCCTCGAGTAGTAAAACTCAAGTAAAATACAAGTAAAGTACAAACTGAAAGCGTAATACAAATAAAGTGCCAAATTACGCTCTTTACACAGATTTTCATGGAACATCTTTGTGTAAACTCTGGTGAGAACACCAATTACACCCAAATAAATAATACAAAAATTTAAACTCAAACCAAAACAGTTGATTCACACATCAAACAAATTTTACTTGAAATAAAATGTACGAGTAAAGTCTGTGAAGCATTTTCAAATTTCGACAGGTATGTTACGCTCTCTTAAATGCTCTCATTTACTCGAAAATTTGCTTAATGTACGCACTTGTGTATACACAGTGTTACTCAAACTTACTACGAGTAGCTCGTGGAACAGACTTATAACATGTAAAATAAAAATCATTTTTTATAATTTGTGTAATATGTGAATCATTGTATCGTTTATTTGCACTCTGGCTCTGGTGTTCTTACCAGATTTTACGCAAAGCTGTTCCATGAGAGTAATTTGGCATATTATTTGTGTTGCGCTCTCAGATGTTACTTTACTTAAATATTACTCGAGTTTTACTATAAGTAACTGGAACAGACCTTATATAGTTTGCTTTTATTTAATTCAATTTTAATAAATTTAAGTCTTAACTCTTCTTTTTTTTAATGTAGAAGTAAACAGCTGTAAATAACGACCCTGTTCATAATGCAGTTTTATTACCCATTGAAGAAAACAAATATCAAAATAGTTTTTATTGTGCCAAACGCATGTAATTATAAACATTTGTCGGCTTTTTTTGTTGTTAGAGATGCGTAAATACCAGCAACTTTTGTTATTGTTGATATCTATAATTAGTATAATTATACTTGTTGTATATAGAAACGAAAATAATCGTTTAAAATACGTACTACAAGTTGTTAACTTTTTTGGCAGAAACGATGAAATTGAATTGAGAGAACAAAAACTAGTGAATTTAACAAATGATAATACATTTAATAAACCATTACCATTATGGCAAGTGATTGGCAACAACTTTTATGCATACAGTGCATATTGGAATAAAAATGAACTTACGCCTGGTGGAGAAGCAATTGCTATTGTTACTGGAAAACGTGACGCAATAGTTAATTTTCGTTGTGAGGCCGAATACGATGAAGGTGCACGTAATATATTAGGAAAATTTCATTTTCAACGTCACGGAGTTGAGAGAGAAAATGTTAATTTTATAAACTACAAATTCTATTGTCGTTTTAGTCGCGATTTTGGCATACCACAAAGAATCGCATTTACCGATATAAACACAAATATAAAAACTAATTACAAATTAAGGTTACGGCATTTGAAGAAGTCTGCAAATGAAGTGACCACATTGCAGCAGTCTGCGATTTGTGTAAATCTTATCAATTATGATATGACAACGTATTTTTCAAAAAATACAGCAAATTTATTACAATTTTTCTTGCATCATCATATAGCACTCTCTGCGCCGGCATTCATTGTCTATAATAGTGACGAATTAAGTGCGAGTATTATTTCAACGTTGCAAAGTTATGGTATCCGTTTATATCTTGTACCGTATAATTTTCCATTCTCTCTAAATAATGCTTCTGCTAGTACACGTGAAATAGTGGAAGCGGATTGTCTTCTAAGAAATTATCAATTGTCCCAGCACACGCTTATACTAAATATTAACGAATTTTTTTTCCCTAACACAAAACTTGGAGACAATTCAGTTTTTCGTTCAATGCATCATTATGAAAATGAAATCACCCGATTTGAGTTACCAACGTTTGCAGTTTGTATCGGTGATAAAAACAAAGTGCTCGTAGAAAATAAACTATATGATCCTGAAGTGCATACACCCAATAAAATCTACTTATACAGAAATTCTGTGCAACAAGTGTCCTTTGAATCAACTCGTAGCGTGTCTTTGCCAGTATCAACAGCACTTTTGCATCATTATATCGTATGCACGAATGTGGGCAAGGATGGTCTGCATGACTGGCGGAATTCCGTACGTGAGGATTTCATGCAAAATATAAATACATTTACAGAAAAAATGCGCATTATGTTAAAAGGATATTAGATCTAATTATAAACCTTTCACTATTTGCCTTTGATATGCCAAATTTAAATTTTTTTATAAAATAAAAATTTAACTATATTAAGTCCTTCATGAACTGATAGATTAATATGTTCTTAATTCTTATTGTGTTTTTACTTGTATTAAATTGTAATATATTTATAATAAAATTTAATATTATTTATATTAACTTTAATAGAAATGTATTAGGAAAAGACGAAATGTATATAAAAATAATACTCAAATCTAAATAATAAATATAAATACATTTGTTCACTAAATCTGAATATAAGTGAATATTATTTATTATTAAAACTTAAATTTTTTGTGTTTTTTTGATAAGTTAATTCGATCCATGGTAAACATGCAAAATATACTTATTTTCCTTTAAAGAAGATTGTCGTTTTGTAAAAAAAGTTTGTTAAATTAAAGTTCAAGGTAGATAAGATTATTTAGAACTTCACATTCATAGTTTTTTAAATTATACTATTAAAGCAAGAACATTGCTTAAATCATTTTGACTAAAAGCGATGGTATATTCAAAACAAAAGTGCGTAGCATCTTAATATCATGTATTATACTTCAAACCATATTTAAGTTCAAATGCAATTATTTTTAAAATGAACAAAATACAAACTATATTATATACTTCTTCAAAATTTTATTAATCATTCTTTTAATTTAGTTTTTCAATATTCATTGAAAAATAAAGTCTATATTGACGAACTGACATTATTTATTAATTACATATAAGTACACGTTAGAATTACACCAATTACACTTATTTTATAATATAAAAAGTATGTTTTATTTAACAACTTAATTCTTACAATAATGTATATATTTTTAAAAATTGAAATTGTACGTAAAAATAAATATTTAAACAAGACGCTGCATAATTGAAGCATTCTTTAGCCCTGCTACATCAATTGAAATGGTGTTATCAGATAGTTCACGTGTTGGAAAAGATGATATCAAAACAAAGTTACGATTAACGTACTCTGGTCTAGCACTAAAAAAAAGAAAAACAAAAAAATCAATATATAAAAATAAAATAACAGTTCATAATATATAAAAATGTGTACACACTTTTGTATATATTGATGTATATCTGCCACAGTGTGGGTCAAATTAAATTGTGCAGCTAAACGTGTACCATCCGCTAAACGAATCTGCAATGTTGTAACTGGTGCTGTAGTATTGACCTTCAATTTGTCTTTTGCCGCTTTTTCATCACTGCTATGATTCTTTGGATTACCAGCAACTGATGGACTACTCTCTGCGCCTTCAATGTTAGGAACGGGACTAAGAAAGTATATAAAAATAAATGAGTATACAGTTATAACCAATTTTTGTAATTTAATCAAATTCACCTTCCAAGTGTATGTCCAGAACCTTTAAATGTTTGAACGGCAGCAGTTTTCTTATAGTCTTCATGTCTATGATCCTCCACGTCAACATTTACCATGCGCCCCATTTGAAGTAACTCTTGAGGAATTTCACTTTAAAAAATATTTTTGATTATAATCATTGTTTATATTTTGCCTTTTTATTTACCCTTGCATAACAGTTTCTAAGAATTCTTTATTCTCTGGATCATCATAAAGTCGCAGTTCTCCGTCATTTACCGAAAATCCTTGACTCCATAATTTTAACACAACTGCAGGCTGTTTATCTCCATCTTTATTCTTATTTAAAGCTGTAACGACAGTATGATCATTTTCTGTCATACCTAAACGCACACCTTGACCCCAATTTGGTTGGGATGAAGAAGGACCTGGACTCGGTTCGGCTAAGTTTTGCTCATGTGCCATACGAAACATATCGGTGAGCTGTTCACGAAAGTTTTTACGTTTTGGTGGACCTAATACTTGTTGTCCGGAGCGTTCAGAACCACCGGCATAGAATGCCTGACCTTCTTCCTCATTTGAAGGACGTTTTGTCATATCAGTGAGTGTCGCAAATCTATAGATCAGTAAAAACATTTGCTGATTTAAAATATAACTTATATATTTATGTATATATGACATTTTAGTAGATTTAGATTTTGCGATTATTTCACAATTTAAGTTAAATACTTTATTGCATATCCAAAAGTATATATTAACATATATGTTTTTAAGTTTTATAAAAATAAGTAGCACATATTTACGATATACATACTTTTGCTTTTTCGGCACTCCCTTGAATTTATCTTCGGAAGCAGTACCTGTTGGTGAACCTGATGTAGATGAGTGTGCTTCTGCAAAATCACCTCTTACAGCATTAGGATTTGCTACATCAGCATTTTCAGTGTCACCAGCCAAAAATGTTTGCAAGGCATCCTATAAATATAAAAAGAAATTTACATGCTCTCTAAAACGCCGGTAAAAAACTCACCTCAAGGGACCAATTACTTGCTGCTAAATAAAAACGTGCTGCATTATCTTCTTCTCCAGTTATTTCCATAAACTGGGCTATTAAGTCTTCTTGCTCAGACATTTTTGCAACTTTATAGAAATCTTTAGCACAGCAAAATTTTTCTTCTACACCAAAGATGATTCTACAAAATTAAACATAACAAACTTCACTTAATGCTGCCAACTCAATAAAAAATATCGATTATTCAAAGTGGAAAGAAATAGATAAAAAATGATTATCTCTGAAATTTTATCTACCAGTAAGAATCCATATATTTTACTATATGTTAAATTATTATATTTACCAACTATACTATAACTAAGCTGAAATTAGTATTTCATTATTAAAAATATATTATGTTATATATTAAAACGTTGTTTTATTTGTTTTATTTATTACTAATATTTTATTTACTATGTTCAGACGGAAAATATCTTCATGTAGAAAAAAATAAGTTAAAACTTTTCACGTTTTTCATTTTTCATGATAAAAAGCCAAAATGTTGGTGTTCAATTTTTATATATATATTTCCTAAACTATAAAAATACTTTGTCTTTCTGTGAAAAAAAAATTTGTGTTAAAATTTTTTTAACATAGTTTTAAGCCATTAATTGTTAATATCTTGTCTTGCTTCTGATCAGAAATTTGTTTTTTACGGAATTGTATTCAACACTTCCTTTATTTATATCTTAATTAAAAAGTGATGAAGAAAAATATTTTTATATATTTTTAAATTCATTTACTAACGTTGTTACTAAGAACTGACCAGCTGTTATCTTTTATACTATGTTCAGACAGCCAAATTTTCTTAGTTTCGTAAAAATGAAATTAAATTAATTTCGAAAGTGTTCATACTGCCCCAAATTAAGAAAAAATTACATGCTGCAAACACTATTTTTACCTGGGAAATTTTAAAAGTTGATTATTATAACTATAAAGGATGACATTTAGTAGTTTTATTAGCTTTCGTTGATTATTATTTATCTCTCTATTTTAAAATAATAACAATTACAGTTTTTTCTCTATATTCAAATTTAATAATTTGCACTACTTTCAAAATATTTTCTCGGTTTTATTAGTCACCTGACACTTTTTCGTTATTTTGACTTATCTTTCGCTTAAAATTTATCTTTCGCATAGCTACATATGCTCCTTAATTTCAACCTTCGTTTCAATGAAATGAAGGCCATTTTCTTTAATATGGTTCTAACCTCGAAACTGAATATTGTATGGAAAAAACAACTTAATTTTGTTGAAACGAAGACGAAATTAAGATTTTTGTGAAATTAAGGTGTGTCTAAACATGGTATAAACTTATTATACTAACAAACAAACCTAACAAATATTTCAAAAAATATAATTGCAATTTTTTTTAACATAAAACATTAAATAAATGTGTAATTATGTGTAATATACTCGCAATATATTGCCAAAGCATAATATATATATATATATATATCGGTTGTTAGCAACATGACACTACAAGTATTATTTTATTTTCTACAACAGTATGGCAACTATGAAAAAGACATTCGATATATATGGCTTTCTCTTCAATATTTTTCTCGGACAAGAAAGCATTAAAGTTCATGAAGTCTGGAGGTTTTTGCTACGTTTTTTTGTAGTGATTGTGAAATATTTTAAAAACTATAGTTCGGTATGTAAAATTGGTCAATTTTTTAATGTATCTAACAAAAAAGTTTATATATAAATTGTATTATATATATAATTACAATAATATTCGTCGTGATGATAAAGTGATAAATTGTCGGCCGCCATTTTAATTTTACAGCGTTCGATTAATAGTTCTTAATTTTGTTAAATGAAATATTTTCTTAATTAAAGCAAGTGCATTTATGTTCTCATTTGTCGGTAAAGTATGGTTTTATTAATAATTGTCTGAATTTTTGTCAAAATTTTGTGTATACGGAAAAAGTATGCTGAATTCATTTTCTTTATGTTATACATACACATCATATCATGAGAATGTAAAACAGATATACATACAGGATTTTTGTCCTTAGATATGCGTTGTACTTTTCAGGTTTTCAATATGTTATATTAATTTTTAAAATTTTTTAAGTAATCGTGATGTCTATCGGTTTTAATTATTCAATAATAGTTTTTGGTAATTACAGTGAATACTAAATTCAAAATTTAAATTTTTTTTAAATTATGTTTAACAGTTGCGTGGAACACGAATAGAGTTTACTTGTGTAAATCCAAATATATTTAATTGAAAAATGGGTTGAGTAAACAAGAAATGTATTTGTTTCAAGTTTCATTTATTGGTGAACCTGTTACCTTGTAAATATGGGGTTACAAGATATTCTGTTCTATTTATCAGCGTTATCATTTTCTAACCAAGATAATTTAGTTACATCTACAATGACTGTTCAAAATAAATAGTTCTTCATAAATTCTTTATCTCGTAGTTAGTTGAAACATTTTTCTGTCTGACGATGCAGTTTTACGATTAGCAATAAAAAAATGTCAATACTTTTATCACAGCTAAGCTAGTTTCACGTTTTTGATAGGGATATTTTAGTTGAAACGAATTTTCTCAAGGCTGGTTATTAAAAGTATTTGAATTTCTGATTATTTTGATTTTTTTTAATAGTTTCTAAAACTATCTATATACAAAAGATTTATAAAAAAAATTACAAATTCTGGTTAAAATAAAACATGCAAAACAACCAAAAATTTGTTATTTTTTTTATAATAGAAATAGAATTAAACAATTAATTACTTTAAGGTGTAGCAAACAAATTGCAATAATAAAAACATCTTTTCTCTAAAGCACTCTAACTAATTAGGTACTTTATAAAAGATTATATTTGCTACCTGCAGAATAGCAAAGGAAATCACCAAAACAAATCAGCAAATTCTAGAAATAATGTTATAATATCCCATTTTTTAAACTCTAGACATAACAATCCAAGCCTGCTTTATTGAATATAACAAATGATGTTATTACTCAGTATTAACTTCTTTAGTCGAACGTCAAAATATTTTTTTATTATTATACATTTGTGTTTATTGAAAGTTACCTGTTTGCTTATTTAAGTACCTGAAAGTAAGTTATACTTATTTATTGATAATCCTTCTACGATTCTTGTACTTCTATATAGTCCGAATTCTTAGAAAATATAATAGTTTTTAAATATTTAAGATTTTGAATTATTTTTATTATAAAATTTTTTTTTTTTTAGGATATTTTCGTTTTCAAAGTTATTTAAGAGATTGAGTTGAAAAAAATTTTCACAGTCGGTTTCGGCAGCTCATGAGTCATCGAGACGGTGCAGAGCTTGATCACATTACAGTAAAGATTCATAATATGAAACGTAGCGCATCGCGCGATTCACCATCTAGAACAAGTGTTATTGGAAGAACATCTCGTAGTCGTTCAGAAATGGGACGTGGTTATGATAATGGCAGTGGAGTTCCAGGAGATTCCCCTGAACGGATGTCGCCCGATAGATTACGGCGTAGAATTGGTAGATCACCTTCACCACGTAGTCGGTATGGTGTATCTCCACATCATGATGAATATTTGCGTGCTCCACCAGTTTCGGATCGTCCAACATATAAAGTGTTATGCGTTAGTGCATTACATCCTAAAGCATCTGATGAATTTATAAAGGAAACACTTTACCGTGAATATAAAAAATTTGGTGATTTTAGTATACGAATTTCACATGATCTTGATGAGCGCGTAGCTTATGTGTGTTTTAGAACACCGGAAGATGCTCGTGAAGCTAAGCATCATAAGCCACGTATAGTGTTATATGATAAAATTGCATTAGTTGAGCCAGTTTATGAATCATCATCACGGAATGAGTACAGGTATGCATATTTAAACCGAAAAATAAATTTGTTAAACTAATGTATTTATAATATGAATTTATGTTATAGACCCAGAGGAAGATCTATTACACCACCAGATTATGAACGTTATCATTATCCACGTTCACCTATGGGTCCAGGTGGTCCCATCGAGCATCGTCGACCACCACTAGATCCTTATGAAAGGTATGGTCCTCCACCGCCGATGCATCCACATGGACATGCTCGTGAATATCGTGGCCCTATGCATCATGAATATCCACTTCCGCCACGTGGACCACCAATGCATCGCGTACCACCACATTTGCATGGTCCACCACCACCACACTCTTATGGTCCTGGTCCGATAAGACATATGGGACCACGTCCTCATCACGTACCATATGAAAAGTCTGAAAGTAAGAAAGACAAATTTCCAAATTATTTGCACCATGTACAACCAGAAGATGATCCGCTTGCAACGCGTACTCTATTTGCGGGAAATCTCGAAGTAAATATATCTGATGAAGAACTACGTCGTATTTTTGGCAAGTATGGTATTGTCGATGATATCGATATAAAACGTCCTCCACCGGGTACTGGCAATGCTTTCGCATTTGTACGTTATCAAAATTTAGATATGGCTCATAGAGCAAAATTAGAACTTTCTGGTCAATACATTGGTAAATTTCAATGTAAAATTGGGTACGGTAAAGTAACGCCAGCAACACGTATTTGGATTGGAGGTTTGGGTGCTTGGACATCAGTTACACAATTGGAACGTGAATTTGATCGTTTCGGTGCAATTAAGAAAATTGAGTACCAGAAAGGTGATACGTCCGCTTATATACAATATGAAACTGTAGAAGCAGCAACAGCAGCAGTAAAAGAAATGCGTGGTTTTCCACTAGGTGGACCTGAAAGACGTCTACGCACTGATTTCGCTGAACTTCCTGGAGCTCCGGCAGCAACATTTAAAACAAAGCCAACATATGAAGAAGCAGCAGCTGAATATAGACGTCCCGAATATGATTATCATTACGAGGAAGTACCACATTATGCACCACGTGGTGGCTATATGCCATATCCGCCAAGAGGTGGATATAGAGGACGTGGTGGTTATCGTGGTCGTGGACGTAGTAGTTATCATACAACTTATCACAATGATGTTCATCGCCCTGTACATCCAAGTAGTTCATCTGCCATTCCACCACCAGCAGGTGCCGAAGAAGAATGGCGTCGTCCACCTGGTGCAATGGAAGCATATGATCGCCCACGTTCCACATCACGAGAGCCTGGCATAGAACGTTCACGCTCACGCTCACCACGTAAACGTGGCCATTCACCAGAATCAGAATCTGAAGATTCTCCACATCAAAATGGTGCACTAAATTTAGCACGTACACTTCCTGATATTGCACGCAAATGCACTATAATCTGGCAAGGAGCACTTATACTTAAAAGTTCACTATTTCCAGCTAAATTTCATTTAACAGATGGTGATGCCGATATTGTGGAATCGCTAATGCGCGACGAAGAGGGTAAACATAATTTACGCATAACTCAACGTTTACGTCTTGATCCGCCAAAGTTGGAGGATGTACAAAAACGCATCACATCATCGTCTTCCCATGCAATATTTCTTGGCTTGCCATCATCTGCAAATCCAGTTATATCTGATGACTCTAGTGTACAGACTAGACCGCTAAGAAATTTGGTATCTTATTTAAAACAAAAAGAAGCTGCTGGCGTCATATCTTTATTAAATAAAGTAACTGAAGCCACAGGAGTACTGTATGCTTTCCCACCATGTGACTTTTCTACTGAGTTATTAAAGCGCACTTGTCACAGTGTTAGCGAGGAGGGACTCAAAGACGATCATTTAGTTGTCGTCGTAGTACGCGGTGGAACTGCTTAAAAACTGACTAAGGGAGTAATAAATATGCAATTTTAAGAATTTCGTAAACGTATTGTTGCGCCCAGCAAAATAGATTTGTAAAACATAGATATTAAGTTTAAGGAAACATAAAGTATATGTAAGTATAAGTGCGTGCAAGCAGTCAAAGCTGTGGATTCGCAACGAAAGAAGAAGTTAGATATAATACAAATGTATTTATATGTTTATATTTTATGATCGATGAGATCTTAAAGTGAAATGAAACGTTTATGTGAAATATTATCAATATGCATAACATAAGAAAATGTTACTGATAAGTTACTACGCCGCAGTTCGTCAGTGCAGATTTTTAAGAACAGAATGAATATGTATCTATCTAATGATATGCAAAAGTAAAAGATTTTTAATGTTTAATTAATGTTAAATTAGCAGAAAGCAAAATTAATGGCATAGTGCTTGTTATTGATTGTAACATATATGTGCGGAGTGGCGTGTGATGTAAGTTGGTATAAAAGTTTCTAAATTAAAACAAAATTAAAATTAATAATTATTTTCTTGTGTTTATAATTTGTTCGTTTAATGTTTTTGTTTTTTTCATTTTTTTTTTTTTTAAATTAAATTAAATGAAATGAAATGTATTTGCTGGCAATTGAGCAAGGCATGAACCGTTTTTAAAATTGGCTAATAAAGTGAACAAGACAAGTGCTCGACAACGACAAAGTGGGTGTTTTAGTGAGATGCAATCAATTCTCGCCGAATTTAAAAATTCAAAAACGCTTTTATGTTTCCAAATTAATTTGAAAATTTCGTTTGTGCAGTGAAACAAATTTAATTCGGTTGGGTGTCCAACAATCAGTGAGTTTTATTTAAACGTTTATTTTCTTGAATGGAAAAACTTTTAATTTAATTGCTTTATTATGATTTGATGAATGGAGATTTGTGGTTTCACTCAATTGAGTTTCTTATCAATTTAAATTAATATATTTCGTGCACTAATACTTTCTGTGCAGTGTTCAACAATGCAGTGCAATAATGTGATTGATTCGAGCAATTTTCCAAATATGAAAATATGAATTTTCTAACCAAACACCACCATCCTATGAGAAGCTTGTGTAGCATTTGTTTAAAAATATTTATTTACTTGAAGGGTTTTGCAAATGTTACATTGTTTTCTTAAAAGTTGCGCACCATCCACCACTTGTGATATACATAGTAATCTAGTAATCCGTTAAAGACAAATCGGCAATGCCAATACATTTGTGAAAAGCAATATTAATCTTATAATGTTTTTATTTCTGAATTTGTGTAACAATTGAAACATTTTTAGTTTAAAACTATTTAGAAAGAAAAAATTAAATATTTGTATTAAAAGCAAATTATAATAAATTATTTACCAACGAATATACAAAAAGAACAAATGCATGCGTGTTATATTATAATGAATTAATTCAAAACAAAAAAAAAAAAATACATAAAATTTATATAAATAATTTATATTACAATCTTAGTGTTTCTCCTTTTTACTATGTTATATATATGTAAGGAGATAGTCAACTCATTTTTTTCATATGTACGATACATAACAAACAAACTAAACTTAATGCTAAATGAAAGCAATTATTGTAATCAATTAATGTTTATCCAAAAATTGTGTTATATTTAGAATTGAACTTGTATTTGCATTTGAAATTTAATCATAATAAAGATAAAAAAGTGTTATAACAACAAAAAAGTCTGGAACATCGTAAACGTATGAAATATAACCATCCTTTCCGGAATCCCACAAAAAGCTGAGCAGCGAAAAGTAACCTTGAAAACATTTTTCACCGATTGTCACCACACAAATCAAACGGTATCTAAAATAAAAGTTTTTCTTTTAATATATATTAATATTTTTTAAAGTATAAATTATATGAATCGTGAAGTGTCTCACATAAAAAAGTGCATAATAGTTGTTAATTATAGGACTCAACTTGGTTCAAGTGGTTCCCTAAAATCACCATAACAACCTAATCTAATAGAGTGATGAGCAGCTGGTATAGTTATTGCAAATAAATAAATCTGTAACAATATCTCACATAAAAAAGTGCATAATAATATTTGTTAATATTGCCATAATAGTCACCAGTTCTTTATGGCATAGGAAACCGGTTCTTTACGATTGCTGTAATAACCCAACCTAATAGATAAATGAACACCTTGTACATCTTTCCTAAATTTTCTATAACTCAAACTAAAAAGAGTGCAACAGGGTTTTAGAGAGCAAATTACATACAATTCTGCTTCCATAACTCGAATTTCTATAACTTGAATAAAATATTGTCACGACGTGCCAATAGCAATATGGGAAAGTGCACTCTATAGGGATAGGGTAATAGGAAAGTCCCTTTTTCCAAATTAAATGTTTAATTTTTTTTCTTATGTTGCTTCTTTGTGGAAATGCCAGTCGTTGGCAGTGTGGTGTAAAGTAAATAAAATAACTTCCAATGTCTCTCTTAACGATTATATTGAGCTTGATAATGAAATTTATACATCAAGCTTTCCTACAGATGACGATATTATTGAGCATTATAGCTCTGAAGTAGTGGATCTAATTCTAAGCGGAACGGAAAGTAATGGTGAGGGTTCTGTGGATGAAATTGTTCATTAGCTATCCAAGAATGAAGTAGAAGACTCATTCAAAACTTTAAATTTTTATTTACAAACGAATGATACTTCAACTGATGATCACTATAAGGCTTAGAATAAATTGGAATCTTCTTTACTGAAAATAAGAAAAAAAAAATTTGAATCCCAAACTCTATTCTCTAAATGTATTTTGAGTTATGGAAGTTTGACTGCATATAACTCTGTTATAATGTTTCACATAAAATACTGCATAGTAAGAGTTGTTAATTATAGAAATACATTGGGTCAACTGGTTTCATAGGATCACTGTAACAACCTAGTCTAATAGATTAATGAGCAGCTTGTATAAGTTATTGTTTAGGAAGGCAACATTTTTATAATGATTGATTAAGTAGGTAAAATGAAAAATAAAAAAGGCGTATTTATCAAAATTTTTTCATTTGTGTCGCCCAATTGTCAGATTGAAGTTCCATCACCCTCATGGTTCCATATCCAACTTAGTGGTTATAAACCCATGCCCTCAGTACATCGCTTCTAGCAATGACCGAACAACAGCGATTGGTGCGGATTGGTCACTGGAAATATTTTCAACAGCATGTCGGTGACATAGCTCCAGTTAGCAAATAACTGGAGGTTTGGACACCAAAACAGATAACTGTTAGCAGATAACTGGAGGTTTGGGCGCTTAAAAAATTCAAAATAAAAATTAGTGACATATTATATCTATATTGGAAAATTAATTTTTGTCGTAGAAGTAGTGTAATATAATATATAGGTTTCATACATTCATGTAGATGAAATCTCTTTACTAATAGAGTAAATTAACTATTCTTACATCTTCTTCTAATAAGGACACTTTTAATATTTAATAACTAAAATCAATCTATTGAAACTGATAGAACAATTATTGGACTATTCTCAGGAGGTGTTTATTTTATGATTTAAATAAAAATGATGAATAATGAAAATAATGAATTTTTATATAACTTACCTATCAAAATTGTGTGATTTAATACGATTTTTTATCTCCTCACTAACCTCAGTAGCAACTCTCAGTGCGATTTTTGGGGAATACGTGAATGTAGCGAAAGCAGTATCACAAACACTTTTTATAATTTTTTCGCAGATTTCTCTATTCAATGGTTTAATAGACTCCAGACGATACGTTGGCATGAACTTCATTACAGGCTGTCATATATAATAGGAATAGAAATGTCAAAATACATTACTATAACAGAACATTTTAACAAATAATCTTACTTTTACTGGTGAAATCGTTAGAGGTACGTTGCTTTTTCTACGAGGAGCAATCGAAACGTCATCCTAAAATGAAAAAATCTGTTTGAATCTGCAATATCAAATATCATATGTAAGTCTATACATTTTATGATATATGCGTGATTCAATAACATTTACCAATCAGTGCTACCCTTGAAATATTAATTTATTGCTTTTCCTATCAATCAAAATTGTTTTCCCATAAAAATAAATTAAATTTATTTATACCTTTCCACGTGTTTTGCCTAAAAAAAATATTGCCAAATCCGACCAACTGGCTGCCATTATAAGTAATAACGTATTAGTAACCTAAATCTTAATATTTTTATAACATTTTGTTAAATCGATAATATTATATATAGAAAAAACATTTCAGAGGACTCGTAGGTAACTTAAAAGCTTTAACCACATTTTAATGTAGAAATAAGGACGAATATTTAATTGTCTCTCTTAATTCGCGTATAATTTAATTGTGTGCTCTTCTCCAAGAAGTTTATTAACTTCGTGTTTATTTGTGAAAATATAAGTGCATAAATTGAATGAAATCTGTTTTATTGCCAATAAAAAATAATATGAAAATCATTTATATAGACATCGAAAAGTGCTACATACATGTTGTGAGTATTTACTCAGTAAGTTAGTTTCACATTTGAAGTAGAATTTCTACTTAAAAGCGTATCTAATGTCATTTATGTTGTCTTCAGTCGTATAATTGTGCTTTATATTGCAAACAATCAAGAAATTATTTATAGTTTTGTAGTGATATTTTGAAGTCTTATATCTGTCAGTCATAAAAATATCGTCTTCGTTTTGGGTATATAAACAATGCGTTTTATTGTTGGAAGTTCTAGTTGCAAGTGCTTCTTTATATATTTACTAATATATAAGTATCTGTACTTTATTTTTTATTTAAATAGAAAGAACTCGACATAAACTTGAAAATGATTTCACATTTTATTGATAGTTTCCTCTTCTATATCAAGACTTGTTGGTTTAAAATTGGAAGCTTCAAATGATATCGTCGTTAAACAATTACTTATAAGATCTAAGTGACAGCAAATCTTGTAGTAAAGACTAAAGACGCGATTTAAGCCCTAAAAGTGGACCTATTGTGATAAGAGAAGAGATAAAAATGAACCTATTGAACGAGAATTAAAATTATATATTTATTAAAGCTTTAAAACAACATAGCGTTATTGAGAATGACGGCCTTATAATTTACGAAATATATTTGCTTAAAATTTAATTAGTTCGCTAATATATAATTTAAAATTATTTCTACAACCAAATTTAATGAAATCGCGCTAAGAATTATACAAATATCAGTGTTTATATTCTGGAACCACACGCCTACGATGGATAATTATCGCTTAGCATTCTCATTGAAATTTCTTTTTTAGCAAAGCAGTGCAAAGTTGTGGTTTTTAACATAACAACAAAAAATATTAACAAGTAAAAGAGATTCTCTTATTAGAATCGGTTTTTTTTATATTAGGAACTAAATTATAGAAAATATTTATACTCTATATTAGCAAAAAAATTTATTGACAAGTACAATAATTTCAAATATGAAAACTTGGGTGTAAACTATAAATTTAAACAGTAGATGCATTCCAATATTAACAGATTGGTACAAGTTTAGTGTATTCGTGTAGAATATATGTATCAGATAACTTTTAAGAAGTATATTTATATTTATTTGACCCATAAGGTACAACACATATGTGATCAAATTCAATACTGGGAAATACAAAAATAGTTTACGTTAGTCGGTACGTATTGTAAGAACTTAAGTCAAAGCGAAATGCACAACCAACCACACCTGAGTATTTCGTTTTGGCTTAAGTTTTTACGGTACGTACCGCCTAATAGAGCCTTAAAATTTTCCTTACTCCTTTTATTGTGCACATCTGTTACTTTCGGCTCTGTACTGAAGTTACAATTTGTTATATGGACAATATGACTCAACATAGTACAATTCTGTCTAGTGCTCCTACTCACAATTTTTTTCAAATAAGAGAAGCGAGAACCTTACGCCTACTACCTACGTACATCTAGTATTGTGCTCGCTAATAAGCTTTTGTTGTTTGTTATGTTACCTATACATCATTTTGTGAGTAGGAAGCAAACGAATGAATTGAAATAAAGTGAATGGTTGAGACGAAAAATTTGTCTAATACCAAAATTGATAAACATGAGAAGTCTTTGCTTTTGTTATTGTTGTTCCTCTTATATCTTCTTTCCTTGATGAAGCTAGAGTTAGTGTCTAAAACAGTGTCTGTGAATACTTGGGTGAACCACTGTAACAAGAAGTCCATTGAATTATGATAAGTTCATGAATTTATAGCATGCCTTTTTGACTTTTACTATATACAGATAAGAGAAGTTCAGTATGTCACTAAGTATTTATATGCTAGCTATAGAAAAATTTGAAAGACAGTATAGACATTAAAAATGTTGAACTGTTTCAAATTGATTTGAAAAAATCGATATAGAAGTAGAGGGAATACAGGATATCAAAAACAGTGGTAAAGCTAGAAGTGTAGGTTAGTTCAGTATCACAAGAACAGCATTTTGTAGTTAAGTTATTTAGATATTCCAAATTGAAACAATTGAAATGAATTCAAAAATTTAGATAAACGAATAAATAATTTATATTTCTACATTATTTAAAGGAATTATATACAGTATACATAATATATGTATATAATACGATAAAAGTCTACAGTATAAAAATAGTTTCATAAATTTCCATTTATATAGACAATATATTATATAAAAATACGTACCCCATCATTTGCCATTTTGAAGTTTGTTATTTCTGCCTAATACAATAATATGTGCCAAAAATAAATATATTAATTAATTAATTAATTATATTATTAATAAAAATATATATTAATTTTCTGAATATTTTAAAATTTTAATTTTATTTACATTAAAAATATAATGATTTTAAAATGTTTTGAAAATAACAGGTTACTTAAATTTTCGTTTCTTGCATTAATTATTTTCCAAATTTTCACATTTATTTATGCCCAATTAACTAATAATAGTCTAACTGTCACATTCATTAATCTAATTGACCAACCGAATGGACTACATCACAATAGCAACGTTGGTGCTTGTTAATTATAGAACTATTTCGAGGATCTTTAAAAGTGTGGCGTGTTTCTAATTTTTGCGGTGGACACTTATGTGTTAAACACCTAATTGTTCATTACGTTCATCTGTGTTTGCCTAGAGCTGAATAGGTGCATTAATTGGGTTCTCTATTTCTTCCTTGTTCTCATATTCATAATTTGTACAACAGATTAGTTTCAACCTAAGAGTGTGTCTATCAAATAATCAGTGATCATAATATAACCGTCCACCAAGAGATAAGTCCTCTCTTACATATGTATATATAATTAGTAACTTCGTGATTACGATTAGATAAAATAAATACACTGATAGTCAGACGAATATCACTATACACATTATTCTTATTAAAATTGATTACGATATATAATAATGTTAATTTTGTATTTCAGGTAACAATGCTAGGAGACTAAATTTCCCTTTTAACCATACCTGTCGCGGTTGTGGAAAGGGCGATGAAAGTCTCTTCCATTTGTTTTGTCTCTGTTTAGCACATGCGCGGTGCCACCTTATCACTTTAGGGGCTTTCTTTTTGAGGGTCTTGGAAAACTGCAAACCCTCCCTCTGAATAGCATCATAAGTTTTGTCAAGCTGAACTAAGTGTTTCTAACCCTTCTATGTTAACACAATGGATCTACAGGCCTAAGTTTATTCTTTGGGATCGCCGGTATCATCTAACCTATTAATGTTAAAACCAAATATGACTGGCAATACAACTGTAATTCAGATATGACCGATATTTTTTGGACTTCATTGTTCATATATGATTTTTAGATTGCAAGTACCATAGGTGTACATTGTGTCTAATGTCTCCATCACTGTGTTACAAACATCTTTCTAAACTTAATATACACTTTATTCTTAGTAATGTAGACGATGTAAGGGTTATAAAAATTGTATAACAAATTTGTTGCTTCTTTTTCCATTAATTGATTTGATAGCAAAAAATGTTAGCTAATATATTATCTATTATCTCCTATTTATAAATGATAATAATTGATTGACTCATAAAATTTAGTTACAGAAAACAAAATGTTACATATTCTTTATTTTGCATTAAAGTTTGTTTTAGCACAAAGTGTATGGATAAATATACATATATATTTTCTTATAACTAATTTTACATATACACAGTCACAGATATATAGTATATATATTTAGATATTTTTATAGTTACATACATATAATATTTTTATTTTTTAAATGTTTGGTATCCTTTTTGGTTTGGTTTTGTTTTTGTTTTTTTTTAAACATATATATTTAAACATTTAACATGTGATATAAAATTACGTTTACAAAAACTACATCAAAAACATCAAGTAAAAAATATTTTATTTGTATAAAATTAAAATCTTTTTAGTTAGTTTATCAATGCTCTTTCAGATTTTATTAATTATAAATAATTCAAATTTAGTGCTAAAATGAAAATGCCAAGAAAAAAACTAAATATAAAATCAATACTAGTTGTGCGTTAGTGTTTGAACCAAGAAAAAATTAATAAATATTGAATAGGGTCCCTTGGTTTTATGTTTACTCAACCCATTGGAACGATGGCTATATCTGCAGTTTTTTGATAGACTAAACTAATTATAACACACAAAATTAAACAAAACTATAAATGTAATAAACAATAATATTAAATAAATAATTATATTAATTTAAATAATATTAGAAAATAATGAGTATTATAATTTCATGAATTAAATATAATTATATAATAATTATAATTAAATATAATAATATTTACTATAATATACATATTAATTATATAATTTACTGTAATGCAATCGATATTAAAATCTATAATAATATAATTAATAATAATATTAAATATAATATAATAAATAATAATAGTTCATTAAGTTATTGAGCTACTTACTGCAAATATTGAATACAATATTAAATATAATATAATAATATATAATATAAAGAAAAATGTAGTAAATAATAATTTAAAGAAAGATATAATAAATAATAAAATAAAAGGAAATAGAATAAATAATAATATAAAGTAAAATATAATAAATAATAATATAAACGAAAATATTATAAATAATAATATAATAACTAATAATAATAGTTCAAGTATTGAACTAATTATAACAATCAAAATTAAACACAATTTTTAATTTGTATAAATACAATAAATAGTAATATTGAATATATAATTACAAATATAGTATTATAACATATAACACAATAAATAATATTAAATATGTGTAATAAAATAATTAATAAATCCAATGGTTTTTAAAATGATTTAACAAACACAAAAACAAAATTGAATAGTATTATAATTATTAAAAAATTCAATAAGTATTCACTAATTTAAAAAAATCAAAAAATTAAGTACTAATATAATATATACAACATAATAAATAATAATAATTCAATAAACTATTGAAATAATTTCTCAAATTAATATAATAATTTATTATTAATAATTATTAATTAATAATGTAAAATAATAATAGTAAATATAATAATGCACAAATAGAATAAATAAATAAATTATATAAATAATTATTATTATACGAGTACATATAAATAATGATTATATACAAATTAATATATAAAAATGAATAAATAAGCGTATATTGTTGTATTATAAACAATGTCTCTAAACTAATAGCAATATTCTACTATTGGATTTTGTTTAGAGATGAAGTCAAACATATTTAAACTAACTTATACGATTTAAATGTATGATAATCAGTGTCAAATCATTAGCTTAGAGTAATATCAGTAATTATAAAGTACACAGTAAGGTTCATTCATTTTATTTAATACCTAAATTGTAATAATTTCTGTAATTATTTAATTCAGAATTAAAAAATTTGTTTTCATTCTGCAAACATAACTTATGTCGGTGGGTACAGAAATAATGTTCTACATAAATTCATGCTTAAATTTGAAAAGTTTTCATCCATTAATTACTATTTCAAACACACTTGAGCACATAAAATATAAGCCCATAGTATTAAAGCTTACAGTTTTTAAATAATAATGAAGAGTATTAATAATAATAATGATAGTAAAAATTAATACTAATAATAGCGATAACAATAATTAATGGTAATTATAATAATAATAATAATGAATAATATAATAAATTAATAGTAAATTATAATAAATTAATGAATAATAATTATAATGAATAATAATAATATTGAATAATAATAATAATGAATAATAATAATAATAATAATAATAATCAATAATAATAATAATAATAATAATAATCAATAATAATAATAATAATGAATAATAAGGGATAATAATAATAATGAATAATAATAATAATGAATAATAAGGAAAAATAATAATAATAATGAATAATAATAATAATGCATAATAATAATAATGAACAATAATAATAATGAATAATAATAATAATGAATAATAAAAAAAATAATGAATTATGATAATATATTCTTATAGATAATTATGATAAATTTAAATTAAGGGATCAATTATAAGTTTTTAAAGTAATTTTATTTAAAAAAATTTAGTTTTGTTTATACAGATATAACAATAAAAAAAAAATTAATAAAAACAAACAATTATGTGCGCTTAAATTATAAATTATTAAGTAAAATTTTTAAATATTAAAATTTTTTAAGCTTCTTTAAGACTAAACAAACACACTAACATGTTGATGTAGAAAAATAAAACAATACGACAACACTTAGAATATATATTGGGATAGTGTAAGTTTTGTAAACTGTTCTTAATCAGTCGTAAAGTGCATAAGATAGGACAATTAATAAAGGATAGAGTGGATCGTGCATAGCTAAGCTAAGCTAATTTTATATATATATAGTATATCAGTGTCTAAGAAATGAGCTCAATACAAAACGTGTAACTTGTAAAAGATTTCACGATTGCATACATAGGTATTTTAGTGAGATTTTTAATATTTAGTTGCATGTTATACAATCCTTTCAATATTAAAAATTTTTTTTTTGTATTTATGTTCAGAGCAATAAGTTTACACCAAATTACAAGTATTTAAATATTAAAAAAATTGTTGGCGCAGTTTTAATGTCACCATTGTATTTTTTGGTCCAAGTTTCAATGTTAATGGGTTTTGTTGATTCTGGCACAACTTTTCATCAACGTTCATTGAGATTTCAAATAAAGTATTTTCAGTCATTAGAGCGGACTTTACGCAATGAACCCCGATTAAATTTACAAATTGATTCGAGTAAAGCAGAACGGGCTGGTTCACTATTGTCATCAGTTGGTATATTTGGCGACGATGATTGTCTTTCCACACTTGCCAATGTAGGTATTTCCTTTTGATGTTGATGCAATTGGTGCATTGTAGGCGTTGCAGGTGGAGCTATAAAAAATTTAGTTATATTGTTAATGAATTTAAAATAATACGTGCTTGTAGTTATATTTACATTTTGCACTAGATATTGGATTAGAGATACCCTCATGTTGCAAATTCACACTAAGCACACTATCTGAACGATTAAAAGGGTTAACGTTAGTGCCTGTTGTGGAAATGCTTGCTGAGGCTAATGACAAACGACCATTACTGGTTTGCAAAGAGCTTTGTTGCTTTAACTTTGACTGCTTATGTTCCAATTTCTAAAAATATTGTTTATATATATTGGAGAGTATGATATAAATATAAATATAATTGTGACTCACTGCTTTTTGTTTTGATTTCCTTTTTTCTTCCTCTGAACTCATCAATTCTTGTACTCGTACTATACGTTTTTGGTTTTTCACAGATTTTTGCTCATCACGCAAGCGATGTTCACATTTCAATGCAGCTTGTTTAAGAGCTTCTTTGGCATTTAAAGATAACTTGAAGTGAGGCTTGTTAGCATCTGCAAAAGTATCAGTTGAGCTTGTCGCATGCTGTGCAAAAAATTGATGGCCTATAAGTTGCTCAAGTGTTGGCAGACCAGATCGACATGCTTCTTTAGATAAAATCGTTTCCAATAAATTTTCTGAAAAAAACAAAAAAATATTGAGTAAATGAAATTTTATAGTAAGAATATATGGAAATTTTTTTTCCTGAACCAAATTAATTATGGAACAGGTGTATAATACGATTTCTTGATTCAAAAAACAAGAATAATTAAGATTCAGGTAGGATTATTATTGTTATTAAAAACAATAATAACAGTTCAACCTTTGAAATTTGGATAAATTAAGACTGATTATAAACATAATAATAATCTTTTGGTTCAAGACTACAGGTCTCATTTGTTACAAAGAAAGCCATATGGTCCTCATAATAAAAACAGTACAGTGATATATGGATAATTCCATAATATGTGTTAGATATAAAATAAGTGGGGATATGGGGATGTTGAAATAAGGGCTTCGACCCGGAATTTTTTCCGTTCCGGTAAAAAAGAAAAAAATATATCGGCTTGGTTCCGGTTTTCGTTCCTGCATAAATATCGATTCCCGGTTCGATTCCGGTACGAAGCCTTGATCGAACAGTAATTTTTTCCGTTCCGATTCAAGAAAAAAAATATATATTCGGTTTTTTCCTGCAAAAATATCGTTTTTTTTTTAACCAGGGCTTCGAAGCCCGAAATTACCTTAGCCGAAGGAGTAACTACTTTTTTTATGTATAATGTAATATTAAAGAAATTAATGTTTAAATGTCTATATACATATTACTTACTTAAAGATTCTGGACAATCATTAATTTGCCGCACTACTGACTCTTGTAGTGGATACCCCATGGCCATTTCAAACAAAACATGCCCAAAACAATAAACATCAACTTGTTCGACCGTGTGAATTTTGCTATGCTGTACAAAAAACGGACGATAAAATGCTGGCACACCAAGAATATAATTTTCAACATCCAATAACTTAACACAATCATCAACTATGACTATATTTCCGGAATGTAAATGACCTATAAAAAAAAAAAAAATACTAATTAATATTGTAAATTAATTATATTTTTGTTAGACATTTACCATAAGGATAACCTTTAGAATGTAAATATATTAGCACTTCTAAAATTTGTCTACCATAATTTGCTACTTGCTTCATTGTAAGCGCTGTTCTACCTTTTGGATTACCATATTTGCGTAAAAATGGATTTTTTGGTGTAGACATGCATAAGAAGTCTTTAAGTGTACCATGTTTATGAAATCTAAACAAAATGACAAAATGTATATTAATATAGTTTTCATATTTTAATATATTTACAGACTTACTTTCGTATTATTAAGCAACCGTTTTCGTTATGTGTTGCATAAACGACGGGTTCAATGTAGGGATGATGCAATCCCATGAGACTTCTCAATATGCCACCTAACTCTTTATCATCTATATATTTATCGGGACCAAATTCTAGCCATTCGAGCACCAATTCAGACGGATCAAGCATACCGCTATCAAGCGAACTTCCACTTCCATTACTGCCAGCTGCACCGATATGTTTACTTTGATGAGACTGGGAACCACTCTTAACAAGTTTACTAGCACTTTTATCTGGCGGTTTTGGTGATACTTTAAAAAAATGTTTTCGTAATCGCCAACCTATTAGACCAAGCGTAGCTCCCAATGTCCAAGTACCATCACTACGTAAGCAAAGAGATGCATTTTGAACTGCTTGATCTGAAATTCATTTATAGAAATTTTAAATATCACAAAAGAGTAAGGCATTTTAATCTTTTAACAAATAATTCCTCAGCGCTAATTAATGATAAATTCCACAGTACATCAGATACTTTTTGTTGTATTATAAAGGATTATCTATAATATAGTCAGCACAGTATATTTTAATGAAATTATTAATGAATTAATTATTTATTGATTTATATAGAAGGCTTATATCAGTAGAAAATATAGTCGATTGGTAATGTAGTGCTCGTTTCGATACCCAATGCATGCTAAAGGTTATCAATAACTAAGGTGTTCTGTTAATCGTAGTTGTTCTGCTTTCTAGAGTTTTGTAGAAGGTATTATTGTAGATAAAAAGCCTATATAGAAGTGCCATAGATAATTGTGAATAGTGAAGTGACACGTTAGTTTAGGTTTGTATATCAAAGTCTACTTGAGCTCAAATATTGGCTCATTGTGATACTACGGATTAGCGTTTCTCATACGCAGATTATAGAGATCCCTAATAGGTTTGTAGTACTCAGTGCATAGATAACGCTGAAAATGAACTAATTTGACACGTCTTTTGTAAAGTGTCAGATACGTAAAACATTGCAACGCATCTTCAACTAAAGTGAAGATTGGACTAAAAGGTCAAACAAATAAACAAATAAAATCACAGACCATTCAAATATGAATTGAATAGTCTGTGTGTGATCTATGGTCTATATTATTATAAATTAATAAATCTTACAGCTAATAATATGTCTGGAGTTCTTAACGTGACAGTTACATATCTTGCCATCCTGGATTTGGAGAAAGCAATTTGACATTTTAACCAAATAAACTATCATAACCAAGTAAATTAAATGTGGACATATGCAGACGATATTGATTTCTTTGGGAGATCCGAATAATTTGTACAAATATTCTTCACATATAGCAAGCGACACAAATAATGAAGCTACACATAATATGAGACAATACGATGTACATGGCGGCATTGTTTGTAATAAAGTGGGGTGCGAGTTTGAAATGAAAAAGACTTATGATGCCGATTGCTTAAATTCAAAACCTACTACAGTTGGGGAAGCATTTTTAGGGATAGAAACTTAATCTCCATAATATCCAAGCAACTGCTGTATAAAACAATGTACACATGTATGTACTGTGACCAATTAGGTGAGTTGGAAAAAAAAGTTCTACAGGGAATTGTTTACTCCATCTGTGAGGAATGGCGCTATTGAAGAAGTTATAATTACAAACTGTAAGCTATCTTTCTCTAGGCAGACATATAATAATAACAAAAATTAAACTCGTTAGGCTTTGCGGTACCGGCCACGTAGTTCCTTGAAAGTCACCTTTATAAAGTACTTATTTATCGACATGCTTTTAATTTATACTAATCGGCTTATGTTTGTACTGACAAACTCTTTTTGCTCAATTCATGTCTTCACTAGGGATTTTTATGTCCCTAGTGATGATAAAATAATTATAGTTTTTCCAGACGGTTACATACGGTAATTCTTTTTTTCTCATCATGAATATAACAAATCCCTACCGCAATAAAGTTAATATCAGTGACTTCGAATACAGACAAAGGCTTTTTGCATGCACTTCATAAGCCAGTATTCTCTTCAAAACTACGGTTTTTTTCACAAAGCTCTTGACAGGAATCCAGTTGATACTTTCACCAAGAATTGTCCTAGAATAATTGTGGTCCAGATGTAGCCACGTGGTAATCATAAATAAGTTTTGATTAAAAATCATAAATAAGTAAATAAGTTATTAAAGTTTCTTCAATTTTATTTTTATAAAAATAAAATAATTTTATTTTTATATATATTTTCTTTTAAAAAACATTTCATAATATTTTAGGAATTTAATTGAACGATTACTGGGAATAATATACCATGATTCATTAATATTACTTCCTTCGTATGCAATGTACTTTATGTTATTTGTAAGACTCCATAAATAAACGATTATTTATTAATTTTAAATATTCTTTATCTCCAAAAAATTATCATAACTTCCACATGAGTCATGGCAAATACCCTCTACTTAAATGTTTCAACATGACAATGACCTGAAGCACACATCGAAGATAGTAAAAATATATATATATATATATCCGATGAAAAAAAAGTTGTTTGTATTGATTAAATTACTGGATCTTAATCTAGTGGAAAACCTATGAGATCGTAGAAGTGTAGCATTGCCAACAAAATTCATCACTTTGAAAAAGTAGAAGAACTATACGAGCACCCAAAAAAATTACCTAGAAACCAAACTTAAAGACATTATCGACAACCTAACAATGTCTATAACAAATATATATATGCAAAAGTAATTAAAATGAATAACACATTAGAAAATATTAATTGCAACAGCTGTAAATGTTTTAAGAGGACTGAAATAAATGTTTTTGTTTTCTTAATATAGGATTTTTAAAAGTTCATTAATTTCATAAATATATTTTGACATCTAGTAATTCAAATCAGATATGTTTAATATTTAATATTATATGTATTTACATATCACACATAAATTTTAATATTGTATGGTAATATGCGTATATTGAATATTATATATAACATATGTGGGATATTTCATATTATTTTCTCATATTTAATTCCATATAATATCTAATATTTAATATAATCAACATAATATTTTATTATTAAAATTATATTTTAATATTTATATATTATATAATAATGTCACTCAAATAAAAAAATTAAATAAATTATACTTTAAAAATAAGTATATAACAGAATAATACAACAGTATATAACATATATGAGAGAACTGTGCAAATTTTATGGATATATAATTATTAAAGAAGCACTTAAATTTTTTATACTCACCATGAAAGGATTGCGAATAACTGTCTGGATCAACAAATCGCTTTGCAGGAAGCGATGATGCTAATATGGGATTCATTAGAACAGTATTTATATAAATTTGCAATGCTTGTCTTCTCTGAGCTATAAAATCTGGGCGCATATTGCCGATAAGACGTTTGCCTGGAAGTTGTAACTCTTGGATATCGGCAATGGAAAGACATTTATGGAGTTGAACAAAATCATTGTAACGATGTAATATTTTCCAACAATTTTCTTTACGAGGTCCACGTTGAAATCTCAACAGATATTCCTATGAAAAGAAATTTAATCATATTTATAAACATATATTAATGCATATATACATATATGTGCAGAAGAATGTTTTAGAATTAAATCATAAGTGGCATATACGTTATATATGAATAACTACGTTTACACACACTTAAACTGCTACTTGAATTAAGTAATTGTGGGGTGAAGTAGATTTATTGATTTTTTTTTGTCTCACCGTATGGCCATTAACTTCCTGAGCAGTTTCTATGACGCACTCTATCCTTTGGGTGTCATCAAGTTTTAGCCTTTGGTCATAGAGTTTCTCAAATATTGCCATTTGTCACTCCACCCTGGCTCGCAGTTGGATACATTTTAATTAAATTTACTTTTTTAAAATTGCTTATTAAGCAGTTAACTCTTTCACTTTAAATCAATATTCTCAACTCTGGTAAACTTTTCGTTATTTTATACGGAATTTATTTAATATATTTTATATATATATTTGTTTAGCAATGAAAATTATATAAAAGTATTAAAATTAATTAAATTATTCACTAATTTTACGCATTTTCACTGCTCAAATGACCCTCTTATAGAAAAGAAAACAAACATATACAAAACTACATGTTATAACAGTTTGATTGTGAATTTCTTTTAGCGAAAAGTTCAAAATAATACTTTTTGTTTGATAACTGTTATAATTCTTTAATATTTTAATTATATGCGTTAAATTTAAACCAGTTTGAAAATTACTGTATTAGTTTATTTTACTCACAAAAATCTCAAATAATTCGTTCGATTTAAATATACAATATTATTAATTGATTGCTGCGCTGTTAAGTTACTTAATTTTCTCTTTCAATAAATGAATGACAATATTACCTATATAGATAATAATTAACAGATTTGTTTTCAATAACACAATTTAAATGAAAATAACAAAGCATGGATAAAAACTCAATATTATTTCAATTAATTATAACTTTACATATATCATAATATAAAAAATGAAATTTATGGTATTATTGGTAATAAAAATGTGAAGTTTTTTTTTTGTATAATATATAATTAATTGAAAATGGTAAATAATTTTTACGGGTAATGAAATATTTTACTTTATTACTCTTAAAAAAAGATAAGACCTGCAGTTTCATATGATTTTTGTCGAACCAAATTAGGTTTGTAGTCATGAACTAAAGCATATTGTTGCACCCCAAGAATATCTTTTTTATTTTTTTGGTTGCACCCATCAAATGCTATAGCAAAAAAAAAAATCATATATAAATGATATTTGTATATATATATAAAAATATAATAAAAAAAAACTAGTATTTAGTTTTAATTAAAATTTTTATTCTACTTTCATTTTATTCTACAACAGAATTTTTGTGAATGTTGACTTCTTAAAATTTATTTTGACTATTGTGAATATCCTATTTAATGACAGTACAGTTAGTCGCCTATTTAACAGGCGTTTTCTGATATTAAAACATTGTAATAAAAGTTTGTTTATAATTAGCAATGGTGATTACAACTGGTAATTTACGTTCCCAGCTAGTGGGTTTGACAAACTTTTCTGGTACACATAAAGAACAAGCAGATAAATATCGACAATTATTGGAGGTAGTACTCTCTAATACCGGTATGGAATTAATTGATACACTGAAGCTATTTGTGGAAGGTATAGTTCATGAACATGTCAGTTTGGTTATTTCGCGTCAAATTCTTAATGATGTTGGTTCACATCTCACTAAGCTACCAGATGAAGTTTCCAAACAGGTTTCGCATTTCACATTAGACAAAGTGCAACCGCGAGTTATATCCTTTGAAGAGCAAGTAGCAGCCATACGTCAGCATTTAGCAGAAATCTATGTGCGAAATCAATTATGGCGTGATGCAGCTAATGTACTTGTTGGCATACCGTTAGAGACCGGCCAAAAGCAGTACAGTCCAGATTATAAACTTGAAACATATTTAAAGATAGCACGACTTTATTTAGAAGACGATGATCCGGTGCAAGCTGAATGCTTTATTAATCGTGCTTCTCTATTGCAAACTGAAACACAAAACGAGGAGCTTTTGGTAAATAGCATTTTTCATTTATTAAACAAATATATATATTTATATATGATACTTAAATTTATTGCAATATTTTTATCTATCTTAGATTTTGTATAAAGTATGCTACGCACGTGTGCTGGATTATCGCCGTAAATTTATTGAAGCAGCACAACGTTACAATGAACTTTCATATCGTAGTATTGTCGATGTTGAGGAGCGTTTAACTGCACTTAAAAATGCGCTCATATGCACTGTACTCGCTTCAGCGGGTCAACAACGTTCGCGTATGTTAGCTACGCTTTTCAAAGATGAACGCTGTCAACAGTTGCCTGCATTTGGAATTTTAGAAAAAATGTATTTAGATCGCATTATACGTCGTTCGGAGCTTGAAGAATTTGAAGCGTTGTTATTGCCACATCAAAAAGCTGTTACTGGTGATGGTTCCTCAATTTTGGACCGTGCTGTATTTGAACATAACTTATTATCCGCCAGTAAATTATACAATAATATTACATTTGAAGAGTTAGGAGCATTATTGGAAATAACTGCATCTAAAGCTGAAAATATTGCCTCTCAAATGATAACAGAGGGCCGTATGAATGGGTTTATAGATCAAATATCAGGAATTGTTCATTTCGAAAATCGTAACTTGTTATTTATGTGGGATAAACAAATCCAGTCTTTGTGTTATCAGGTAAATTCTATTATAGAAACAATTGGAGCTCGTAATTCGGATTGGATGACTGCGACCATTGATGAAGTTAATTAAATATGAACTGCTGTAAAATAAGAAGTTAAAAATAATCGATAATAAATATATTAAACTAAACAATTAAATAACAATTATGTTGCCATTGCATTATAGTTTGCACCAAATCTCTACAATTAATAATGGGTAAGTCAGCACATAAGTTTTTTTTTATATTTTAGTTTTGTTAATGTTTAAGAGGGATTGGTGGTAATTTAATATTTATTATTTTTATCTACTCATGATATATGTATATCGTAAATAAGAGGTTATTTATATATAGAGATTAATTGTTCCAAAGTACACTAATCTTAGAAAGTGATTCCGTTGTTCCACATTGAAAAAATTGTTTGTTAGTTAGCAAGGGATTTCTATTCAATATTAATTGTGATGTGGGGTATCATAGAAATCACACAAAAAACTTAAAATATATCTATATATATATTTATATTAATTTATATATATATAAATTAATTAACTTAAATTTAAAAATTTGGTTTAAAGCAGACTTATTTTTTGTTCGTTTAATAGATTTTAATACGGAATTTGATATATTCTATATTATTATAGCTTAATGCTAAAAATTTATTGATTTTGAATTTAATTTTGTACAATTTTATTTAATATTAATAATGATTATTAACACGGTCGGCATTTTTGTTGCTAAAAAAACAAATAAGTCAATTCAGAAGCTGAAAATGGTTATGTACCTAAGATAATAAGACACTTATATGGAAGAATTCAAAAAAAGTTTGGAGACCAATGAGTTGTTCATAGAAAAATAACAGGCATTTTTAAAATAAATGTTGTGCTTAAAGGAAGAAGTTCGTATTTAAAAAAAATGATTTTTCTTTTTATCTGAAATCTATATTCATAAATAAATATAAATATAAATATAAATATAAATATAAATATAAATATAAATATAAATATAAATATAAATATAAATATAAATATAAATATAAATATAAATATATATATATATATATATACATATTCGAAATAAAAGAAAGACATTGAAAAATTATTTATTGAAAGGAGTAAGAAAAGTTGAAAGTTTGTATATCAAGAAATCAGTTGTCCAAAATATTAAGAAGGGGCGTCAATTTTGAAAACAACGACATCAGTTACTCAAAGAAGTAGAAAGAGTTGCACGCTTTGTACATTAGTAATTTGAGCAGAGACTAAGATGAGTTTTTCAAAACATCACAAAAATGTGCTTTTGAATATCAAGAAATCAGTTCAAAAAGCCGCAGTTCACTGTGAAATATTTTGAGGATTAGGAAATTACTATTTCAAAATACATGGAAATGAATCGACGAGTTGGATGCTTTCTACATTAAGGTTTCAGTTGTCCAGTATATTAAGGAGTGCCAACTTGAAATATCAAGATATAAATTCTTTAAAATGAAGTAGATACTTGTGTACAAAGAAATCAGCAGTTTAAAGAGTAAAAATATTTATCATCAAATATTGTTTTATTGTTTTTCAAAGTATTCTCCAGCCTGATTTGTACACTTTTGCATGCGCTCAAACCAATTGTCGAAGCACTTTTTCCACTCCGATTGAGACACCTCCAAAACATGGTTTTTGAACGCTTCAACAGCATCTTCTGGCGACGAAAATCGTTGACCACGCATTTTTTTCTTGATGTGCGGGAATAAAAAGAAGTCATTGGGTGCCAAGTCACGGCTGTACGGCGGATGACCCATCAATTCGACGTTTTGGCCGGTCAAAAAGGCGCTGGTTTGAGCCGATGTGTGAGAGCTCGCGTTGTCATGGTGAACACATTGGTCTTATCTTATTAGTTATTCGAATTTCTCCGCAGACTTCAGGCAAACAAATTGTGGTGTACCACTCAGAAGTGACCGTCCTTCGTTGCTCAAGCGGAACTGTCGCCACATGACCAGTTTTGCCGAAGAAATAGGCAACCATTTTGGTTCGAAGTGCTTCTTCCACGAACAACTTTCATTGGATTTGGCTCGTCTTCGAAGATCGACACGATCGATTATTGTTTTGTTTCGGGCTCATACGCATAGATCCATGATTCGTCATCTGATAAACGTCTTTGAAGCACCGCGAACGTATTTTTTCAACATTTCAACATCTTTGCACCAATCGACACGAGCCTTTTTTTGAACGATTGTCAAATTGTGCGGAATTGATCAAATTAATCGCACGAAAATGATCACGTGTTAATTCTATTTTTTGGACGAGATGAATTTTTCAAGTCTCTGTAAATAAAACAATTTACAATTAAATGCCAACAGGTTCTGAGTGATGTTATGCTAAAAAATGTCAACCTTTCCAATGGAAATGTCAGATTGCACCTGGCAACACTTAATGTTGCCTAGGCCAAAAATATATATAGCAGCACTCGTAAAAGTAAGTTCGAAGTTTATTATCGTGTTTTAAAATATTTATTGGTTAATAATTTTTATGTGGTTTTCGATAGAGAGCCCGTTTCTTTTCTTTTTCTATTTTTTTTTTTGGAGTATAAAATCATTTTCTATATTTAATATTATGAAAAATGGATAGTACAATACGACTTAAATGATTTATTGTGCCCTTTTCAGATTAGAGTGTTTTTTTCAAGTACGATTTCTTTAATGAGAGACAGTATAGAGCCTATCTTTCCTAGTCTTGGATCCTTATGATCCATGAAATTCCCCTCTAGGTGTGTCTTCCGCTTCTGCATCAGTGCCGGGCATTCCCATAGCGCATGTGATGCGATTTTTCTCAATTCTATACAATATCTGCAGTTTAAGTTAGATTGGATTCCTAACTTCGTTAGATGAATATTCAATCTACAGTGACCGGTTAGTAATCCCGAAATAATTTTTAGGTTATTCTTTCTTTGTTCTATACAATCTTTGAAGCGTTTTAGGTTGCTCAGCCCAATACAGTTCTCTTTCTTTTTCCTACTTCGTTGTGTGCATTGGAGTCGCAACCAAGTATAAGTGGCATTTTCATTCTCTAGCAGTAGTCCACCAGTTTATCGACCCTACAGATGATGCCTGAGTGTTGTCTCCTGGTAGGTAGCCTGTAGCTACGCTCACGTTCCTAAGTACTCCCTTGATGTTAGTCGGAATTTGTATGGCAACGAGGTCCTTGGATAGAAATTCTGAAAGACAGATAAAGTTTATATTAATATTCTATAAAATGTAGGTTCTTGGTATTTGACATCCTAAATTGGTTTAACTTGCAGTTAAACCCCTGTGGATCCAGAGTTCTTGGACCAGCACTATGTTTAGGTTCGATTTGAGCGTTGTCCTTGCAAAGACTACCAATGCAGTTTTTACATAGTGCAGGTTTATTTGCGCTATTTTAGTGCTGGTCATCATGTGATTATAAACTTCTTCTTCTATCAAATCATCATCGATGTCTCATAAAGAAATAATGTCGAGGTCATCCATAGGTGCCAAGTCTAGTAGGGAGAGAGATCTAAGGCATCAATGTTCTCACTTTCGTGAAGTAGCATACTGATTTTTTCGATCTTCTCACTTTTGTTCGCCTCCTCCTATACTTGCTCCGCAACGACTGCAGGTAGCGTTCCCTCAGCTGGTGTGGTAACCCTAGACGAGTTATTTCCCTCTTTGTTCACCCGCCCCTTATGTAGATGGGCCGGGACGGAGCTGAATCTATTAAAGACCTTATAGCTGTTAGTTTTAATAGTCTCTTAGAAGCGGTTGGCAATCCCGATCGTCAGGAGTTTTTTATTTTTCATGATCTTGGTGCTAAATTCTCTCCACAGTTGAGTATGCAGAACCTTATTCGGCGTGAAGAGTAGTTTTGGCAAGAATAGCTGCTGCCAGATAACAGTTTTTTCGGTTGGTGCATCCTGACGTACTTCACTGGCAGAAGTTTGTTATTTCCTCTGCTTTTCTTTGCTGATTGGACGTTCATCGCACTGCTCATTGGTCGATTGAGCGCCTTTTCCTTTGCTTTTTCTGGCGTTATATATTCTTTGAGATAGCGGAAGTACCATTTAGTACCCGCACTACGTAAGCCAGTCCTTTTCCTTGCGTCGTAAAAGCTTTGGCTCCAGGTCAGTCCAGTACTTGTCGAGGGTTGTGGTAACGTTTCGACGGTTGCGTGCAACTATCGAGCCAACAGTTCCTTGACTTATTTTCCGTAACGAAGTTTCCGTTTTGGATCCAGTCAGCAAAGAGCTAGTTTCGTTTCAGCCAGTTGAGTTGCAGTATGTGGGGAGAAATGAGTTCCGCCGTGTCATAGCCCCGGGTAACATGGTAAGCCACCTGTTACTCACTGAGGCGGACAGGTGTCAATGAGATGCGATGCTAATATACAGTCTGTTACCCCCGACTGTAAATAAGTTCGCACCAGTTTTTGGTATTGATTTAATATTTTGATAAAAATAGTGATTAATCGAAATTCATTGCTTTGCAAACCTTTTTTTTGACACTTGATTTTGTTAATATTGATTATAATCATAGCGTCATTACACGCAGAATTACCAAAGGATGTGTGGTATATTTGTCTTTTGAATATTACAACTGAACGATTAGTAAAGTGGATTTTAGTACGGTGTCGTTTAGGATTATGTAGTATTTCAAATTGAAAGAAAACAAACACAACTAAGCAACTGATACGTATATTTTCGTAGTTAATATATAATTTTATTATAATTGTGATGAATAATGATTTCAATCAGTTGACCTTTATGAAAACATCTTAAAGAGCAGACTTAAAAAGTAATCCTTGTGCGGACAACACTGGTTCGCTTTCAGTTATATTCTTAAAAATTCATTCACTTCTATAAATGTGTACTCAGTTGTTTGCCATAAAGTAAAAATCTAAGAAATTCTTAAACATAATACATTGTGGCTTTCATTAAACAATAAACACATCTTTTTCCACAATCTATTTTTTATTCACAATTATCCATATTGTATTTTTAAACTGAAATATTTTAAGTATTTTATACTTACAATAACGTACGTGCTAATGTATGTAAATATGTATGACTAAATATATAAAAATCTTTATATATGTATTTGATAATTCATACATCTATTGTACTGTATTTACTATAGCATATATAAATATATTATGTTGATGAATGCATATATATAATGATGTCAAAGATTAAAGTTTTTTATGTATATATAATATAGTAAAATATATTTATATACATAGTAGAATATTTTATATATATTGTGGTAAATATTTATACATAAAATAATGTCTTTTTATATAATAGTATATATGTACTTCTGCGTATAACATTTTATATGTATACATATGATAATATATATTACATTGTTACACAAATATATCTATTTTATTTAGTGATATTTAAAATTTGCTCTTAAAAGTTATTCAATAACTTATTGAATTAATTTATATATACATTCTATCGTTTCGAATAAGGCAAAGAATATATTTAACTTAAATTAAATTTAAAATGCAAATCTATATAAATATATATATATATATATACGTATTTTCAATGTACTAAAAATGTAATTAAAATTTAAACTAAATTTAAAATAGTATTACGTTAGTAAAATTATTTCTTCGATGTGCTAAAGCTACCCAGAACGAAACTCAAAGTTAAGATTTTATTTCCTTTATGACTAGTGCTTTTATATTCGAAATCATCATCCTTGTGCATTAGTTGTTAATTCCTCATTTAATTGCATTTGTGCAAGTGTTCGCACTACAACGCCTCTATTGGCAGCAGATAAGCCTTGACAAAGTCCGACTACTGCATCCAAAGCGACTTCAGGACATTCCTGCAATATTAGCAAAAAAAAACAAAAATTTAATATTCAATTTTATTTCATGTTAGCGATTTGGTTGCTTATTATACCTCAAGCATTGTTGTTATCTTTGAAATAACTGCATCCTGTTTAACGGCATTTATGTTTTTAGACACTATAGAATCTGGATTTTCTTGTTCTTCATACCACTGCACCATTTCCTCATTTTTATCCCAAACATATGACTAAAATTAAATTAAAAAAAAAACGTTATTATCCTTGTATGCTTTCTTTCTCATAAGTGTTTGACAAAATAGGTAAACGTTTGTTATCATATTTTAATCATATTAACATTACCAAGTATTGAGAAACTTACTTCAGTATGTCCTTTATCTTCCACTAACCAACGTCGTAGCATTTCTTTAGCTTGGCCTACAGATAAACTGTCTTGAGCTTTCGTAATTTTTTTAATGTATTCATCTTCTAAAAGAAGTCGTCGTAAACGCCAGTATAGGAACTTTCTTGATTCTCGCCACGAAACTATATCTAAAATACATTCCTTTTCTAACATACGTTCGGGTGTATCATGCAAATCTGCAAAATGTACTGCTACTGTATGATAGACATGCAGCAAGATATTTGTACGTGACTTGATTTTTTCCTCTATTTGTGTTGCTTTTGCTTTATCACCAGCTGCAGAGGCTTCTTCCATTTCTTTTCTCAACTATAGCAAAATTACAATTAATATTAATATTCTTAATATACAATTTAAGTAACTTACAGCTATTACTGTAGCGTCTAGACGATTAATGGTTTTAATTAGATCTTTTTCTTTGTATTTTATTTCCACAATGCCTTCAGGTTCCAATACGCCAGCACGTGCTTCTGGATCGGCATAACTTTCCATATATCTCGGATTAATTAGTGAATCCAATACTGCCCAAGCACCTCCACGTAATTCTGCATTAGGTGGCAGATAAATTAGCACAGGTCTTTTGTATTCCCTTAAACCATCTACAATATATGCGCCAAATTTGACAACTTGTTCGTACATATCCTTCATGCCACCTGAAAAACCACGCCAGTTCGCAAAGATAATTAAAGGCAATTCTTCACGTCCAAAATCTTTTATTGCCTGCGCTGTTTTATAGGAGGAATCTGGATACCAAACTTGACCGGCTTGTTGTAGAGTCTGCAAAAAACAATAAAACATTATTATAAAATTACAACGGATTTAGAAATTTAAATCATTTACTTTTGCTTCTGAATCTAAATTTGCTGGATCAGCAGGCATATCAACTTCGACTGTACGCGTTTCCACTGCAATAACGCCTACTGGTACACCGCCCAAACGTGCACGACCTGTGACAACAGTTTTTGCCCATGGTTCCATTACTTCTTTCCACGACCCTTTGTCAAAGAAACCATTTTCCCATTCGCTCATATTTGCTATAAAATAATTTGAAAAAAATTATTAGTACATCAGACCAACGATTTATAGATATAAAATAATATTACAAGGATTAACTCGTCCAGCAAGCATCCAACGTGGATCGTATGGTGATTTGGTTGGCATAAAACCTACAGGTCGTTCAATATTATCGTTAGGCGTTACTATAGGCAATTCACAGCCAATGTATGCGGGAATGTATGAAAGCCAGTCTAATATGGTATACACGCCATCGAGGTCCACCGCTGTTAAAATAATGAAGTAAAAAATAAATGTCAATAAATGAAAAATTTAGGAAACTTGTTGATATTACCTTCAGTCTTGTGTGACACACCATTATTGTACATTATTTGCACACCACCCAATTGATTATTGGATGCATACACTTTACGTCCAAGCAGCTGTTGAATTTAAAATTTCCTCTTTAAAAAATTGTTTTAGCAGTTTAAAAAAATGAATTCACCTTATTTAAAGCAGCGTAGCCTGTTAGAATAATGTGAGAGTTATCAATTTGTATCACACGTTGTCCCAGACGCACAAGATATGAGCCAATACCAATCGTACGACACGTTACCATTGATATAGTTACAATTTCTTCATAGGCTTGTGAAGTTTCACCAGCAATTAAACCGGCATAACGTAAATTTTCCACTCCAAGACCATCATCTTTCCCAATAATATCGGTTATTTTGTAGCGTGGTTCACCTTCATCTTCAATAAGTATTGCCCGAACAGAATTTAAATTGGCTACCTTTGTGTAATCTTCCGTGGTTAGATATAGATATTTAAATCCTTTGTCTGGTTCTTCAGGATCTTCCCATGCAACTTTAAACATAGATTTGACTTCTTCAGCAAGACCGATTCTTGCACCGCTATTCACTGAAACGTAAATCTGTTAAAAAGTAAAAGATTATATATTAAACGTCTTGATTGATATTATTTTTTATCATTTTATTTTGTTAAATACTTACTCTAGGTACTTTGAGTTTCCTTGCTAATTGTGACGCTTTGTGGAAGAGCACATCTTCCTTTATGCCAAAGGAACCAATGAAGAATGTTAAATCGTTAGCAATAACAATTATTTCACGTCCCTTTGGATATTCTGGAGTAGCTAACGTAATGCGCCAAGCTACCATACCACACTGTTAACGAATAAAATATTATTTTAGAGCTTTAAGTGGTACAAACGCAATGGCTTACATTGTTTCCTCCAGGTAAACGTTGCATTTCGAGTAAATTGTCACCATCCAAAACTAACTCGACACATTCTAAAAGTATTTTTTCTGGTATTCTGATATCGATTGTGGGTCTAGCCTTTGAAAACTCTTTCCAATGACGTTCGGTCATTTGTCTGAACATGTCTGGTATATCATAGACATATGTGGTACCGTTGGACTGTGCCTGGAAACGCTTTTGTTGCAGGAAATCTTTGGTCATATATGGTGTAGAAATTGGATGGTCATGCAAAGAACCTTGTTTATCTCCATAGGCTTTGAATTTTATCTGAAAAAATTTTGTATTAGTTACTATAAATTAAATACAAAATATGGAAGACTTACAATTCCGGTTTCTATATCGGTAAATTCTGTGTACATCGATATATCTAAGAAGTAACCAGAATCATTGGCAATGCATAAACGTACGGCTTGTGTTGGCGATTGAGGAGATTGTCTTATAACCATTTTAAGTTCAGCTTGCAATACACGTAATTTCCACAAGCGTGGACCATATCGCATGATCATTTTTGTGACTGATTCTTCTATTTTGGCAGGATCCATTATAACCGTCGGTACAAAATTCAGAAATATATGGTTACAATCAGTTCTTTTGGCATGAGGGTGCGAAAAAGCAACTTCCAATTCATCCATAGCCTCAAGTAAAACTCGTTCACCTTCGTTTTGTAAATATTCAAAAGAAGCTTCCTGTAAATAATATAAACAATTTAATATATAATGTATTAACTGAGTGTGGTCAAAAGTATGTTTTAGTGACAATACCTTAGTAATTAGATCAGAGTGACGTATAATTGAACGTATAAAGAAACGATAATCGGTGACTTCTTGACCTTTAGAAACTTTAGCTTTACCCAAATATAGGTGCATTTTTTGATTAGCTGTTGGTAGCGCTTCTAAATCGTACGTTCGCATGCGATTCAATTCCAATTGGAAAGCACATGCAGGTTCTAAATGTCTATAAATTCTATCTTCTTCGAAGTTGTCACGAGCACGATAAGTGAAAAATTTAGGAAATTGGCGTCTAAAATTTATAAAATAATTAGAGAAAAATAAAAACATCCGCAATATATTTTTTATACTTTTTCAATGCAGCAAAAGTTATTCTGCGTATTCTACGCTCAAAGAAATCTTCACGATTTTGTTTGCAGAAATTTCCGAACTCATGTGCCATTTGAACATCATCCAGATCACCAGTTTCACGTACGGCAATATTGACAATATGTATAGGTTCTGTTGATTTGGCCTCTTCCACAGCATTTGCCCGAGTAACTGGGTCAGAAAGGGATACATTAATCGAAGTACTTAATCTTCCATCTGATAATGAATCCACAGCTTCTACTGCTTCAAGAACCTAAAATATAGGCGTTATATAATTTGATTTAAATAAGTTCTTGTTAATAATATATTTTATGCTTACCTTTGCACTAACATATGCTGGAGAAGAAATATTTTCAAAGAAATCTAATATTTCATCAGCATATGTTTCAAATTCTTGGAACGAATCAAAAGCAGCCATACAACCAGTACGAACAAATGAAGAGCCTAGAGTATCTGTTGTGGCTTCTACATTATCACTAGACATACGTGAAAAAATTCTAAAAAAAAAATAATTTTAATCGTTATTTTATCACAAAATCGTATATTGTATAATTGAATTTACCTATTTGGATGCGCCGTTGGCAGTAGAAATTGGAAATGAATTAATGGAAGACCTCCTGAAAGTTCTAGATGCTGTAAGCAAGTCAATTCATATGAAGTATAGGCACGACGTACATAGACTTCAAGTGCTGCATTACACACAGCTCGGTTTGTATGATAGAAAAAGTCATGCAAAATATCAAAAATAGAAGTTTCTGATAGAATAAGCCTTTGTAAATTTTCTGGATGAAAGTCATGTCCATACATGTCAACTGCTGATAAAAATATGGATTCCATTTGATTATGTCGTAGTTCGTATGCTGGTTGATGAGCAGCAATCAAGACTTGCCTTGAACGTAACGCAACACGAGAATGCTCAGCACGATTAAGAGATGTAAGTTCACTAAGCGTATTGGCAAGTTCATCCGTTAATCCTGGTTCATTTGCCCATAAATGATCAATGAGTAGTGTTACCAACAGATTCTTTTTAGCTACTTGTGAATGTGAAAATATTGTATTCACAACGGTTTGCATATCTTCTTTATTGCGTTCACGAATTAATCCAACACATTTATCATAATGGCCATGCTGAAACTGGGATTCTACTTCAAAGTATTGACGTAAAAGTTCATGCACCACAGCCTTCATGCGACCGCGAATACCATTGCGATAACGTTGCACCAATTGCACAATACTTTGTGTAGTCATGAAGAAAACATCACGATCTGTGCGTTTCTGAAGAGTGGCGGCGTGACTATCAATCACGCTAGCGATTTGTTGGGATGGAAATTGTGCTAACACACTTGTAATGTTGCGCTCATAAAGTGTCATTAATTTTCTTATTTTTTTCTCAACTGATATGGGTATACGGCCTGAAATTGATGCGATTACTTCTTGCAGTTCCAGCAAAGGTAATGATGGGTGGCGTAAACTTTGCATGAATTTTTCGATAACATCCCGCAAACGCTGTGCGTTGTAAGGCTCTGGAAGACAATAGCCGGACAATGTGTTTTCCAGTACAGATTTATAAGTGTTATGTGTGCGATTAAGTTTCTCTGGAACAGATGGAACCTCGGGTTGTGGAAATGAATTCTTATATGGTTGTGCTTTAGTGACTAAAGATGGATCATCTAATTCTAAATGTCCTAATAAGGAACCAGCATCCAAAACTGCACCTGCACGTCGTAGAAATGAGACTGTACCAGCTTCTTGAGACGTTAATGTCATAACCATTTTCATTACTTCAATTTCAGCAAAAGCTTGACCTTTCGAAACATGTTCACCATCATCCACTAAAAGATTTATTAGCTTACCAGCGGATGGACTTCTCAGTAGAGATGGATCATTTTCTTTTTCGAACACACAAGTTTGATTTCCGATTACAATACGATAACGATCAACTTCCTCTTTCATGTATGTAGTATATGAAGCACCTTCAAATGATAACAATAAACCACCATCTGACAAGCGATGTACGTCTACTTCTTTAAAGGAATTATTCATCAACAAAAAGTATGAATTAGCACCACTTTTCGCTGCCTGCACCTTATAACGCAAACCTCCATTAATAAGTTCAACATCAACGACATTCGTTAACGTATTAGCCGCTTGTATTTGACCTTTCTCAAGAGATGTTTGGAAACTCGTAAACGCCTGAGTTATATGACGATCGGCAATATGAAGAGCGCCACAAACAACACCAAGTAATATATCTGGTTTTTCTGACTGCACTCGTTCTGCTATTAGTGCATCTAACCAAGCTGTATCAATTGTGTTATCTAGAAAACTGTTTGTTTCCAAAAGTGTGATCAAATATTCAACGGTAGTACGAAAATCGCCACGAATCGAGAGCTCTTTCAGAGCAATGACAAGATTTTCACGTGCTTGTTGTCGATTTTCACCCCAGGAAAAGCAATGTCCAAACTGTGAGTCCGCAAATTCATGCAACCCACCAGAAGCAGCAACACTAAAGTAACCCCACACATTTTTACTGGAGCGAAAATTAAGTTCCTGTACAGTACCAGAACTGGGTTTAAAACCTTCATCAGGATTCTCGGAAGTAATACGGGCAGCAATTACATGGCCAGATGGTCTTGGTTTATGCGTGGGGCCATCAAAATCGATTATTGAAGTTCCCCATGGAGATTCACCATACAGCAGACGTATGTCCTTAAGACGGTACAGCGGAATACCCATACCGATTTGAAGTTGGCAAGCAGGTAGATTAACATCAGCAACCATTTCAGTACATGGATGCTCTACTTGTAAACGAGGATTTAATTCCAAGAAAAAGTATTGTCCTTCTGTATCGTACAAATATTCTACAGTACCAGCGCTTACGTAACCAACCATTTTTGCTAGACGTACAGCAGCTTTTTCCATATCCTCAAAAACTTCAGGCTGTGCTACAATGGCAGGTGCTTCTTCAATAATTTTTTGATGTCTTCGCTGTATAGAACAATCACGACCAAATAAACTAATTGCATTCCCATACTGATCTGCTAGCAGTTGCACTTCTAAATGACGAGCGCCACTTGCTAATTTCATAACAAAGATTGGTGAACCAGGAACTTCAGCTAATACTTGACGGAATAGGGCAGGAAATTCGTCAGCTGTATCTACACGACGTATACCTTTACCACCACCACCTTCAGATGCTTTTATCATAACAGGAAATCCTATAAAAAAAGGGATACATACAAAATAAATATTAAAAAAAAAAAAAGATTTAATTTAAACTCACCTATTTTGCTGACAGCTGCCAAGCCTTGTTCAACGCTATTTACACAACCACGCGCAAAAAGTTCACTTGAAATTTTAATTTTCTTGCCACTATACTGCGCTTTTAAACCTGAACCAGACCATGGTAATGTGGGGATATCTGCAGTTTGTGCAACAATGGAGGAAGCTACCTTGTCACCTAGCGCCCACATAGCACGTTCTGGTGGACCCAAAAACACTAATCCTTCTTTATGCAATAATTCTGGAAGTTTTGGATTTTCTGACGCATGACCCCAACCAGCCCACACAGCCTATATAGTAGATATAATATATACAAATAAAAAACGATTTAGTTTTTTTTTTTTCAAGTACAGAAATGTCTCATTTCTGTGTTTAACTAACCTGCACACGAGTACGTAACGCGATATCTACAATCAGTTCAACATTTGCATAATTATTATTATTTGATCCACCAGGAACAGGAACGTAATGATCTGCCATTTTTATATACTCTGCATTTGCTTTTAGATCTTCCGGTGTAACCATAACAACAAATAGCACAGCCCGCTCATTCTGGAACATTTCATAAGACCATCTACGCACAGAGCGCATACATTTAACAGCTGCAATACCATTATTAGCGATGAGTATACGATTAATGGCTCGTGTACCACCAAACTTTTTAACAAACTCCTCTGTGGTTGCTACATGAAAATCTCGATCTTGATAACGGTCTTGACCCAAGCCAGTACCACGCGACATACTAGGCCTGAAAGGAAATAAGCACATTATGATATTTATTACACTTTAGGAAAATTTTAATAAAGTAAAATTGTTGCTTTTATAATGTTTAATAACTTTCTTCAAAATTCAAACGCTTCTTTTTCTTTTGATCACAATGTTTCCAAAAAACCACAATAACTATGCGGTTGTATTCATTATAAATACGGTTCGAGCTAAACATGTTCTAATACAAAATAATGTTAACTGTTATAAAGACCTATTTGGCAATAGTTGAAGAAAACTATTACTAGGAATCTGTACTGTTGGCGTATTTTTAGTCTAGTAGTTGCATTATTATAATATAAATATTTTAAAATAAAATCTAAACTATTCTCTTTTTGTCTCATTAAAGTTACGATTGGCAAAGCGAATAAAATTATTCTAAGCGTGAAGGTGCCGAAATTATTTATCAATTTTAATTAAAACTAGTATGAACACCCTTCACACAAATATAATAAGAAACATAAGTTTGTATGGTTGGTATATTAAAATAAATAAATTAGTAATAGGTCATTATAAAACCTCTAAGTTTAATATTCCATACCAATACCGATAACCGATACCGATATTAATACATTTCTTTATAACTTAATGTAAATCAATTGAAGGTACTACATCTGCAAGTGCAAGCTTTGTATAATTTTATCTTAGAAAGGTATTTCAAAGGACGTATCCAGTGAAAAATCACTGATTAATCTGAGCTATGATTTGTTGATCCGAGTAAGTTGTTTGGACTTTGTATCGGTCTATATCCTCGCAAACAACTGCTTTGCTAGCGTTGAATTCATTATATTTAGGTAACATATCTAGGCACTATCTCTTGACCTTGGTAGGTATAAAAGCAGCTTCAGGCCAACTTGCATTTAGTTTTATAAGATTGATGAGATTGTAATTATTGTACTATATTTCAGGAATTACATTGAAGAACACAAGTGTTTTTTTCACACTTCTTTTCACTTCAAACACAGAGCGTAGAGGTCAATTTCAACGTTACCGTACGGTTAGTTTCATTCTAATACAAAACGTAAACTAAACGTATTTGTTACCATAGTTTTTTTATAAAACTGAATCTCAATCCTACAAAATATACTCTCCAAAACCGAAAATAAGTTCTAGATTAATCCGGCACTTCGAAGTTTTATTGTCTTCGCAGGTGGTAATAGGTGGACACTATCAATTATGGTTCTGCCTATTATCCTCTCGTTTTTAGATAAGCAAATTTAATTAATTGATGTATTAGTTAGTCATGGAATGAAAGCATAAGGTTATAAGAATGGCTAGGTAAGAAGTGGGTACAGGGAGATTACATATAATCTGTATTAAGGTTCATTAACGTTGCCACTTTAATGGAGTAGGTATATAGCCATAGGTAAATTCAACTTATCATTGTGTGCCGTAGGATATTTAACCCATTAGAAAATGGTATTAGGAGAAGTGTTCTAGTTTGGGAACACGTTTATTTAGTACAAGTAACTGTTTAATACGTGAGTATATCTAAACCTCATTTGGGTCAAAACATATTCATATTTTTCGAGATGCTCTCAAAGCAATGTAAAGAATAAATGAAAACGGCGATAAATTAAATAAATGCTATGAATGATATTGGATCTCATTAGTATATTCATATACGTTCAGGTAAGTGAAGTCAGACTATATTCTGACCTTAGTTGAGTTACAAAAATGTTCTTTTTACTTAATGTAGTCGTCTCTCTTTCTTGAAAACGTTAGACAAATTGTCTTTGAGATCCAAACTATAATATAATGTGCAACTGTTAAAAGACGTTGCATAGGTTTTCTATTTAATCGGTATATTGAAATATTTGACATTTGATAAATTTTGATAGTAACTATACGGGAACAAGATCTACAATATATCATTTTTATAAAAAAGAAGTTAACAGCTTTAGATATTAATGTTAATATATAACATTGCTGCAAACTATAGTGGTATTGTATTAAAAGTTTTATAATATTATTAAGTGATGGAATTTTGATGAAATACTTAAAAGTATTGGTATTTCAAAAATAGTTAAATTCAATTATTTTAAGAGATTTATTTAGAAAATTAATAATCTGTCAGATTATTATTAATCATAGACAATTGCGAGCAAGGGAACTATGTTAATTAAATTGTTTATTTTATGTGTATTTTATTGTATGTATTTCAAAAAAATTAATTAAATACTATACGTAAATCTGATTAAGAAAATGTTGATAAAACTCTACATTAGATTGATATTGTCGCAATAAATAAAAGCAATAAGTGTTCCCATTATTTTGTAGTAAGTATAGAACTATACTTATATGTTACATTTTAAAAACGGGACAGATATTTGTTTCCATGTCTCAAATAATAACTATATTGAATAAAATTAATATAGTAGTTATGTATAAAATTAATATATAATAGATATATTTGAGAGATATACCTAAAAGTGATAATTGTTCTCATATTTTTAAAGTAGATATAGAAACATATGTATATGTGATAGATCACACATGTGACATGAATATAACGACTAAGTAAGTAAGATTGAATTAGGGGGAAAGGATGAGTTTGAACTAAAGCAAGATAATGGTCAATTTTTGATAAATAGATGATATCGTAAGTTGAAGGGCTGTTTAAGTGTGGGTGTAATGGGTTAATCAAACATATATTAAACATATATGTTAGAAATAATTTAATGTGCCGTAAATATTTATATAATATGGTTCTGTCATTTGCATAAATTACAGAAGGTACATACCAAAAAGGTATGTACCTTCTGCTCAAAAAGTATTCGAATTTTGTAAATAAAACACTCAATTTTATTCCAAATTTATTTTATTTCCTTCAAAATATACTCCTTCTGAAGCGATACATATATGCCAACGTTTAACCCAATCTTCCATACACTTTTCGTAGCTCCGTGCAGGTATGGCTTTTAGTTCCTTCGGCGAATTCTCTTTTACCGATTCAATCGACTCAAAACGCTTACCTCGAAGGGGCAATTTAAGTTTCGGGAACAGGAAAAAGTCGCACGACGCCAGATCTGGCGAATATGGTGCCTTAGCGATGACAGTGGTGCCGTGTTTGGTCAAAAATCGCGTATAACAAGAATTTTCCATAGTAAAAGTCGCTAAATGCACTTGAGGTAGTCTCACATTAACAGCTGCTGTAAACAAACTAATTGACAGATGGCGCTCAAATTTATACCATATGTCAAGAAAGGGTGTACCAACATAATAAAAAAAAAAGGTTTTGAAAAAGATCTATTACTTAAGGAGTAGTTAACAAACAACAAAATCCGGATACTTTTTGAACAGAAGTTATAATAGCCTATCTTCATACCATTTACATAAGTCTTAAAATGCGAAGATGTACTACATTCTAAAATAAGTACAGTATATATCATAATGAAGATAAAATTCCAAATGAATATTTCAACATTGAAATCACTTGCGAATTATCCTTCGTGTTAATAATAAAATTAGCCGACTAGAGAAAACCGATACAGGTGTCGTTGACACTGATATGTGGGTTGCGAATTAAACTCAGTTCTCTGAATAGAGGATACAACCTCTATCAAAACGTTTTAGAAATTATCGCTAGGTAGCGCTTTCAAGAATTACTACCACGTGATGCTTTTACTTAAAGGTTGCTACTTCTGTCATTAAATTACGCCTTAAAATGTTATCGCCATAACTTGGCATTTTTAAAATCTAAAATGGCAAGAGTACGTCTGCTTCCTGTGCATTCTCAATTTATTACTATTTTGAATATGGAAAACGACAACGTCATCTTTAATTGTGAATTCTTGACACAGTTACTAAATTCTCCTGATTTGGGGATTTCTTGCCGTTTGAACAAGAAATCACTTGGAACGCGTTTTAGTAGCCAAAAAGATACAAAAAATCGCAGATGAGTCTGATAGCTACACAAAAAATTCAATTTTAAAAAATGTTTCAAGAATCAAGTGTGTTTCCGTCAATAGAGAGTAATTTAAAGGAAACAATATCGATTATCAAGAATAAACTTGTATTTTCAATGTTCTTCCCTAAACTTTTTGATGAAAGTGTTTTTATTTTTACTATTGTAATCCATACAATGAATGCTCTTGTTGTGTACCTATTGTGTGGGGTCGTTTACACAGATAAATGCTTCTGGGATGATCGAGTCGTTTATGAAACCTTAATATATTTCTAAAAAATTGCTCATAAAAGTGTACGTATATTTCATTAAATGCACACAAAATTTGTGCGTATAGAACATTTTTTAATTTATTTTTTCTGGGATTCATTGAAATTTAGGACGTTACGTTAAAAACTGTTTCAGTTTTTGATATTAATAATATCAAGAGGAGCACCTTAAGGTGGCTAATCTCTTTACTTTAAGTATTACCTTAAAAAGATAACTCTTGTTGAGGAAGACACTTGCAGACTATGCCTAAAAGAAAAGGATGCACTGGCAAGCTAGAGGATGACTGTCTTAAGACACCATTAGGTTGATGATGACTTGGCAGACAATTTCAAGCCAAATGAGTTGCTTGCAATAACAAGAGATGTAGTTATGTGAATGAAAGTCTCTCTAGCTTTAACTCAATAACAACATTCGAGAATCGAAGGATGATAAAGAACTCAAGTTGTTTTATGGTCTATTTCGTTTAATCCTTCACTTTAGTGAAGGTACGCTGTCCCAACGTCAGACGCTATTATATGTGATTCCAGATGGTTTGTATTTTTATAATTTATATCGTAATAGATATTTTTAAATTCTAATAATGTTATTAATATTAAGCAGATATCGTTATGAGATGGACTACACTTTGATATGTACTGCCAGATGTTTTAAACTTTTATAAATTATAGGAGTAGCACAACAGATGTTTTCAATTGCTAATAATTATAGTTATATTAAGCAGATTTATCGTAATGAAATTGAAATTTGTTATGATATGTGCTTCCAGAGGTTTAAGACTATCGCAGATTATATCGCCATAGATGTCTCTGATTGATGACAATTCAGTTTATTTCATTGTCTTAAAACAAGTTAATACTTAAATATTAGGTATTTCATCAATAAATAAATTGTACCTATGAACCTACGCAATTCAGTTTTTAATAGCAGAAATTAAACAATGAACTTTGGTCACTGCTTAACTTAAGAAAACATCTTTGAAATTTTCCCCAAAGTAACCGGTTTTGCCTATCTATCTTCAATGCGTAAATAAAAAGTCTTCAAGTCATGGGAATAAATGAACAGAAATCAATGTAAAATTTATTGAATCAAAATAAATAGAAATATGCATAGCATATATGTATATATAAATATAACAGAATCAACAAATATCTAACAAAGTTTAGTTTACATAATATATATTATATAATATTTATTTAATTAATAATGAAAAAATGCAATTTATTCGTACCAAAGTTGACAACCGAATAAACAAATTAGTGACAACATTCAATTTAGTAGTACTCGTTTAATATTTGTTATTTATAAGCGAAAAATGCAATATAGATATTTATTTATTTAATACATCTATACTCAAGTATATATTTGTATATATTTATTGATATCAGAGCGGACGTTCGAAAGGAATAACCAACTTTTAAATTTTTTGAATCGATTTACGTTATCTTTGGTAAAGTTTTATAAAAATTAAAAAACAGAAAATAAGCAAATGTGTTGAAATAAACAAATACATCTCGTGTGGTAAGATATGCCAAGTTATTCCCCCCGCCCCCCTAACTGAACGCCTTTCACAACTCTGCACTGTGTGATATAATTAAAGACGTAACATCACTCGAATATGCATATTTAACCCAATTTCACCTTTAACGTCGGCTAACAAGTGAGTTTTCTATGCAGGCGTGTGGACTTTAATCAAAGTAAAAGTGGAAAATTTTTTTGCTGTATTATTTGAAGAAAAATTTCGTATACCAATAATTTCATAATTTTCTTCTCTTTATATATACTTTATATATAAAGAATAAAGAATTTAATATATTAAAGTATATCTCAAATTATACTTGTCAGATATAAGTAAATATCTTCTATTAATTTGTGTTTTGAATATGTGTTTTAAATCTATATTAATGATTAGGTTCTATATTAAAATATGTTCGTAAAAAGTAACGCTTTCACCACCTGCTTTCCTAAAGTTTTTTGTTTTTAAAACATCTCAAAAGTCAGCCCATAAAAATGTAACACTAGTGCTATACTCCACTGCAGACACACGCTGCTTCAGTTGGAACCCCGATAATGGAACCCCGTTCTTAGGAGTACTTAAGTTATTTACCAACTTGTATTACTTTGTTGTTTTTGTAAGATCAGAGGCCTAACTAGCAGGAAAAAAGATTTCATTATAAATACATGAGTAAGAATGAGCTTTTAACAGTTGTGTGAGATAGAAAAGGAGTTGAACCTGACTACTATAATGAGACAGGAATCATAAAACAATTTGGTTCACACTGGTGTGTGTGTGTTTGAAAAGAAAAACATGTAGACTACGGTATACGAACGAGACCTGTAATTTAAGCACATATTGTGAATTGAAGTATTTATATGTGACAAGTAACTGTTTAACATGTGGCTATATTCTCACCTCAATTGAGCTAGAGAGGTTCTCGCTGCACGAAGCAGGTACTTTTCTTATTCGTAAAAATTTTAGGATATAATACTCTCAAACCATTAATAAATAACGTCTACTTATTACTTATTGATAGTAATATTGTCCCTAGTGCCAATATAGAACAATAGAATAAAGAGTATGACGTAGATATATTAATATTAATTAATATTAATAGTTTTATTAATATTAATTTATGTTAGATCGTGTTCCTGATAATATATAGAATATATTAAAAAAATTTTAAACAAACGTTGAGTTCTTTAACAAAAAGTTACCTATAGCTGGATAAAAAAATACGTTTTTTTGCAAAATACGTTTTTACTCAAGTTATATTTTACAACTATTTATATCTATGAAGTATCATAGCAATATAAATTATTATTGTCACCATGGGAGATTTTAACATGTATTATCTTAAATCCACGACCCTCTTTAGTTTTATCCAATAAAGATATACTTTTTCTTTTCTTTTTATATGTACATTTAATAGGCATTTTTAATATTTCAAACTAATATCTCTCCATTCCTTCTTGAAACTTTCAGAATTACATTTATGTTTAAATTGTGAAATCCGATGTACCAGATATAGGACACCGTAGAAACTGTATATATTCAAGATCGACATGACACAACGAGCCAATGCTGCCTAATCGAGTGTCTATCCATTCCTTTTTGAAAACTTTAAGAATTACTTCTTTTTTTTTAAATTGTGAAATCCGATGTAGCAGATATAGGACACCATAGAAACTGTATATATATTTAAGATCGACATGACACAATGAGCCAGTGGTGTCTGACCGAATGAAGCTTAAGAAAGGGACTTCTTGTAAATGCAGTCAGTCAATCAATTTGATAAAATGAATATAATCTCGTTCGCAAAATGAATATTGATTGACTACTAATTGGTTTCTAGTACACAAATTCACTGTTAAGACTACAAAATGCTAATGAGATTAAATTTTAAGATAAAAACACAATTTTAGATATAATTTGAATAAATATGTAATAAGTATATAGTAAATAATTGCTGTATAACAAAACTGTAAGGTATTGAAGCCTTCGACTTTATCGCACAAATATAAAGTAAAAATAAGTTATTAAGTAACATTCCTTACTTTAAAGATCCACTATTAATTTGATGTGTTTGTGGTGTTGCTACAGAAAGTAGATTTTGTGTTTGTGTGACATTGTGAGGAATTTCATCTGAGTTGTTGAGTGATTCTGAATGAGCATCATTCAAAGTAACATTAAGTTGTGGCAAAATATTTGTTGCACCCGTTGTTGAACCATTATTATCAAGGTTGCCAGATTCAACAAGTACAAATCGTTTACTAGCACGTCTTTGCAACATTGTGGCTAACAGGTAATATGCCACAATCATTCAGCACATCAACTCAGAGAAATTTTTTTTGATTTCTTATCAATATAATAATACGTTTTATGCACCGATTTTAATTAAAAAGTATTCGTGTAACTGATTGGCAGTGAATATTTTTTTTTATGAATCACTAATAGTTTAGGCCTTTTTTTTTTTTGACAAGTTTACCGCGTTATATGAAAACTAAAAATCATACGATATCCGACCGCGCTACGCAACGTACAACGTTTAACTGAAATTCTCTGTAGACAATAAAAGACTAGACTTTCGCTTCAGAGCTTTACTGAGTACATACATATATACACATATCGGTGAGTTACCAGCTTATCCAAATAAATTAGTGAAGTATAGTTACTCATATTAAATAAGTTATGTATATACATTTATGGGACCAAGAGCAAACGACGTAAACAATATTAATTATGCTAAACTTCAAGTAAATTTTTGCTAAGTTTACATGCTTAACACAATTAAAAATATTTTATTAGTACATGAAATTATTACTAAAATTACCTCGAACTCATACACCTGTCAATTCTACAAAACAAAACAACTTACAAATGACGTTAACATGGACGAGGGACGTGTGAAAAGTCTTTGACGCATTTAGTTAGTAATCTTTAAAATTTCAATTTATACTTGACAAAAAAAAAACCATATGATGACAAATATGTTTCATCACAGAAGTGTTTTTCTCTTCCAATATGAACATAGCTCTAAGCACCGTAACGAAGACGATAACGGTTAGTTCAATTTATGGATAGAAGAAAAATATACTCGATCATTTAGTTGTAATCAAATAAAAGATAATTCAGAAAACACGATCGATCCTAACTAAACCAAGATTACAATTCCATAGATAACGTTTTCAATCGATCAAAGCCATTAACGAAAATTCTTTGAGGAACTAAAGACCTATAAGGATTAGAATGCGTCTATGAAATATATTTTCATGATTGCCATAATTAAATTTGACTATACAGCCAAAATTGAAAGCCTAGCTTACATCATCCTAGTAGAATGGTATTGCCTCCACTCATTTTAATTTTCACAAACGTAAAAAAGCTAAATTCTAAATTTTATACATTTATATGTGTTGCATCATTGTCGATATAATCTATTCAATTCAGCCTTTATCTTTATTTGATACGAATTAAATTGCTTTCGTAGAGCAATATAAGAAGATAATATTAATAATGTATTATTTTCTCTAATTCAGCCTTTATCTTTATTTGATATGAATTAAATTGCTTTCGTAGAGCAATATTATCTTCTCTAATTATGTGATCGAGAACCATAAACTTTCGATTCTAAATGGAAATAGGACTCTACCATAAATAAGTACTAGAAAATTATTTGCTTAGTAAGCCAGACATGATGCACCTAATGAACTAATGATAATAATTTGAATAAAATTCATTAAGAAAAATGTTTTATGTCATTTTATGGTAAATCTGAGGTTATTATTATAATCGAGATTTAATGCACTTTTAGTGTATGGTAATTGGTAAATCTGGGGCAAAATGTTTAACACTCGAGATTAATTTATAACTCTCTAGATACTCGTATTTTGCCAGTGTAGCAAGAATATCCTGCATTTAACAGCTGTTTTTTATGATTTCACAGATAAAGTTGGATTTGATTCGACATATTTATTTATGAAAAATATAAATGTCTGTTAACACTAGTACAAAAGTGTTGGATTACTTTAAAAATGTTCGATTAGGAAACAAAACTTGACAGATCGAGAGTAAATATAGATTGAATCCAGATTTATTTCCCAATTGAAAATGTCATTAGTTCATAAACAAATATTCATTTATTAATTGCTATTGCTTAAGATAGGCTTGGTTATACCGAGATACTAAGAACTCACTTAGGTCTTTCGTGTTATAAGAACTCAATTCTTTAAAAACCACCTCAAACCAACCTTTGGCAAAACCGAAAATACTTCTTAGAGAGAAGTCCTAGTTAAGTCGTACCAGTATTGCTTTTCAATCGCAACAGTTTCCAACCATTTTTAAAGCGTACATATAGGAAAACATAAAAAGGGGGTGACATACGATAATTTCCGACAAAAATAAGCCTGATCGAAAAAATATTTGAGTTTACAAAGGGTAGCAAAACATGGATTAATGTAAATAAAGGTGATAATATGTGTCACTTATTTGGATAATGTATTTAAAGGTGTACTGTTCAAAATTAGTGCAGTTAAGCAATTAAAATAAACGCAGAAATTCATTATGTGTTGTGTATGAGAGTCATGACGATGGTAGGTCACACACATTTTTGTGATCCGTTAAGACTTCAGCTAAGAAATTTAATAAATCCACTAATTAGTCATGACGTCACATCATCTGATTAACTTCTGTTCCGAACTATAAAACATACACTTTATATCTCTTGCTGACATAAAATTGTCTTTAAAAGTACCTACGCCAGTATATCAAAAATAAAACCCCGAATAATAATAGCCAGTGAATAATGGTAAGTAAAAAATTGCAATAAATAGGTGAAAGAAAATAAAATTTTGAATATTTTGCAATTTGTGTTTTTTTTGTTTATTAAACAATAGATTCTATCACATTCTACTGTGATAAAATCTATTGTTTGAATTCTAACTACCAAAACTTTTTTTTTTTGGTTCTATGTATTATAAATAATATGTACATTTTGTTTGTGAAGATATTTATATTATAGAAAAGAAGACTTAGGACATCCTGTCAACTATAAAACATTCTTAATCAACGTAGTAAAATAAATAGATTTAGCGTAGTCAGTCTGTTTGGATGTCTATAATATATTTACTGATTAATAGAGCCGATAGAATGAAACTTTGTGAGTCCAGTCTGATGTATTGCAGTTTGAATAAGAGCGAATTTAATTATATTATGGAAGGTCTTTACAAAATAACTGCTAAATATCTAAGTCTGTTTTAGGTTTAGACCAAAAAATTGTTTTTATTTATAGATATAAATTTTAGTAAAGGGCTAACGACTGCTTTAAAGCAAAACTATTTATGTGTGAAGGGTATTTCGTATCGGCAAAGCTAGAACAAATTAACTTTCTTGTTATATTTTAAATAATAGGAAGCATTATGTATTTTTTTTGTCACAGTTTATATAAGTTATAAGCTACTTACTATACGTCCCTCGTAAAAATTGTAATGTATCAGTATATATGTAGGCTTACTCATAAACGTGTGCACAGTATATAGTGTGTTTGTGCGAAAGATATCACGCGTTCCATTCATCGCTATTCGTCAGACGGTATAAGCTTTGTTGTTCAATATTTATTTATGTTTTTTTCTATATAGCTTTCGGTTTGAGGTTTCCTCTCTGAGAGTTTCTTTAAGTTTATCTCCTATATATCTCCTATATTTACATCAACTGACCAAAACAAATAACTTGTCTTAACTCGTAATGAATCAATTCGTTTAGATACAAATAATATCGAACTATTTATAGTTATTTTACACAAAAAAAAGGTCTGACCTTTAGTAACTACAAATGATTTAGATTTTCTTATATTTTTTTTGAATTCATATTAAAATCACTCTATAATTTGCATTATGAATGAGTATATATTTTTTATAGCATAATATGATAAATTTCAATTAAGAGATGATATGCGCGTTGTTTGAAATCAGACAACGGATCATAAATGGACTATTTATTTATTTTAATTATAGATAAATAAAAAGTTTTATTGAATTTTTTATATATATAATTTTATATAAAAGGATTTAGATAATTGCAGAATGTAGAGTGAAGTTGAATAAACTTTCTCTCAACTTGAGAGTATATTATGTAATATAATTTTTCAGATACGTCCTTCGCTAATAGAAGATAACCAACTTATCAAGTTTAATGTAATAATTTTGTACTATTAACATACATAAATATATATACCATACTATACAGTCTCATACTAATGAGTGTAGGTTATTATAAAATCAAAAAATTAAATAATAGTAATAATAAGCGGTTACTTGTAATTGTAATTTATTATTATTTAAATATTGTTAAATTAATGTTAAAGGTTAACAAGGTAAAATCTTTTTTCAAAATCTTGTTTTTTTTTTTAGAAATTGATGGATTTGATATTTCTTCAGGTCGGTAGTCTCCAGTAGCACGACATAAAATATTTTATTATAATATATACAGTCTCTTTTTTTTGGTACTAATAAAGTAATAGAATGTATTTATCCTAATTACAATAAAAATAAAAATTAATAATAAATGCATTATAATTTCTATTATATATAATGGTTTTTGAAACCATTCTAGTATAATTCTCAAGAAAGAAACTGGATAGGATCCAGTTTCGAACTCAAGAATGTCGGTTGGAATTAGCGCTGCTATTTAATTGTTTAGTATTGAGGTATCTATTTTGACATAGTTAAGAAATATTTTAAATTACAAAAATTTTATTTTTAATTAACTAAATTTTTTGGCTGATCATGCAATTGTTTCAATTTTTGTCAAATTTTTTTCATTAATGGACTTTGAAAATATTTGAAGGTTTACTAGTCCTTACATAATTTGTGAATTGCAAGTGCCTCGTTCAAATTTGAACCGTCAACTAGAATATTACCTCATAAAGCCAAAGAACACTTAATTTGCATTAGTTAAATTCCGAATAACACAAATATTCATTCGTAAACAATACGAATGATACAGTGCTAAATTTAGAACAATTACACAACCTTCAGCAATGAGCTTGAAGCGTTCTTCCACTTATACTTTCTACTTGTAACGTCTGTATTAAAATCTATATATATTTGTGATCAATTCGGAAATGACTGAAATAAAGATTCAGTCATTAGAAATAAAGAGAATGACAATTTGAAATAAAGATTCTAAAGTGTATTTTCATATCGAAGCAGTGAAAAGTTGTACTATTCAAACAAAGAGAGAGAGAGAGAGAGAGAGAGCGAGAGAGAGAAAGATCACGCTAGAGAGAGAGAGCGAGAAAGATCACGCTAGAGAGAGAGAGCGAGAGAGAGAAAGAT